CAGAGTATATTATCTTACCTTGGTGACAAAGAAGATCAAAACATACAACCAGAAGAAGAAAACAAAGTCAAAGCTCCTACATCCAAAATTTCCAACAAAAATATGAATCAGTCCCAGGCCTTGGAAGAGCTCAAAAAAGATTTTGAGAAGCAAGTAAGAGAAGTAGAGGAAAAATGGGAAGAGAAATGAGAGTGATGCAAGAAAATCACGAAAAGCAAGTTAACAGCTTGCTAAAGGAGACGCAAAAAAATACTGAAGAAAATAACACCTTAAAAAATAGCCTAACCCAAATGGCAAAAGAGGTCCAAAAAGCCAATGAAGAAAAGAATGCCCTAAAGAGCAAAATTGGACAAATGGAAAAGAAAGTCCAAAAGATTACTGAAGAAAATACTTCCTTAAAAATTAGAATAGAGCAATTGGAAGCTAGTGACTTTATGAGAAATCAAGACACTGTAAAACAAATCCAAAAGAATGAAAAATTAGAAAACAATGTGAAATATCTCATTGGAAAAACAACTGACCTGGAAAATAGATACAGGAGAGAGAATTTAAAAATTATTGGACTATCTGAAAGCCATGATCAAAAAAAGAGCCTAGACATCATCTTTCAAGAAATTATCAAGGAAAGTTGCCCTGATATTTTAGAACCAGAGGGCAAAATAGAAAAAAAAAAAAAGAAAAAAAAAAACAGCCATAATTAGCATTAAAGTATGGAAGGCTAGGGAATCTGAGAAAGGGCTAGGTAGGACAAAAATACAGGACTTGTGAGGAATAATAGTCTCTCTTTTTTCGTTCCTTTAGGAAGAAAAAACCTGACTCCTTTTTCTGTCTTGCATAGTAGTAATGGCTAATATCTCTATGGTATTTTAAGGTTTGCAAAGGATTTTACATACATCATTTCATTTGATCCTTATAACAACACTTTGAGGTGTGTACCACAGAGATAATCATTCTAACTTTACAAATGAAGAAAAAAAAGTTTAGAAAGGATCAATAACACTTGTCTGTGGTCCCAGAGCCAGGAAGTACCAGAAATAAGATCCTGGCCCAGGTCTTTGCACTACATCATGCTACCACATTCTTGCATACACAGATTAACAATTTAGAGAGTCTCTTTCTTACTAAACCCTTGGGAAACCAGAAAGTCTCTTACATAGGCACTCTTTCCAGTATGGGAGCAGTAATTTCTTCCTTTCTTCCTTTCTTCCTATAATGAATGTACCATTTCTCTTTACTGTTCAAGCCCCTGTTATACTACAATTTTAGAAAGCTCTTGGGAGCAGCAGTAGAATGATACCTTCATTTCTGGGCCACAACTATTCTTCAAAGGACCCTTTCTGACCTCACACTAAGGCTACTATTGGTAAGGTCTGATTTTTGAAATATAACTAAAGCTCACAGTGTCAAAACTAAAGTTTAAGTCTGGATAACAGATCAGTTTCTTGAGGCAGTTAGGTGGCTCAGTAGATAGAGCACCAGGCTTGGAATCAGGAAGACCTGAGATCAGATCTGGTCTCAATAACTTATTTAGTTATGTGACCATGGGCAAGTCACTTAAGTCTTCTATGTGCCTCAGTTTTCTCATCTGTAAAATGGGGGGAAAATAGCACCTACTTCCCAGGGTTTTTGTGAGGATCAAATGAAATAATAATTGTAAAAGTGCTTGGCACAATGCCTGTCACATAGTAAGTCCTATATAAATGTTAGCTATCATTATTATAATTGGTTTTTGTTAGTATTATTCTTATTATACCAATTTGCTTTCTTTTTCCTTGACCTTCTTGCAATTATTCTGAAAGTTCTGCCATTTGAGAAATAGTCCATACTAGGAAAGGTGATAAGTATACTTAAAATATGTTTTCTCTCAGCTCTAGTTGCTCAGCTTCCTAATTGATCCATAGTTGTGACTCCCCTAGGATGGAAAAGGAGGTATTAAGTTGTTGTTGAGTCATCTTTCAGTTGTGTCTGACTCTTCATGACCCGTTTTGGAGTTTTCTTGGCAAGGATACTGGAGTGGCTTGCCATTTTCTTCTCCAGCTCATTTTATGGATGAGGAAACTGAGGCTAATAAGGCTAAGTGACTTGTCCAGAGTCACACAGCTATTAAGTATCTGAGGCCAGATTTGAACTCAGGAAGAAGAGTCTTCCTGACTGCAGGCCCAGTATCACCTAGTTGGGTATAACTTCACTGAATAATCTGAACTAATCTTCTGAACTCCAGTGTTCTGATTAGAATATAGGTTATTAATCTTTGGAGCAGCTAGGTGGTACAGTGGATAGAGCACTGGGATTGGAGTCAGGAAGACACATCTTCATGAGATCAAATCTGGCCTCAGACATTTACTAGGTGTGTAACCCTGGGCAAGTACTTAACCTGGTTTGCCTCACTTTCCTCATCTGGAAAGAGCTGGAGAAGGAAATGGGAAACCACTTCAGTATCCTTTGCCAAGAAAACCCCAAGTAGGGTCAAAAAGAGTTGGACATGACTGAACAACAGCAACTATAAATCTTTGTGGAGGTTTTCCCTGGCCTCTTCCTGTTTCAAATTGAATGATAAAATACTGATGTGAGTGAAAATGGAGGCTAGCCCTACTAGATTTTGAAAGAATAAGACTAGAATTAATAGTATAGTTAGTAGGTTAGTTATAAGGATTAAATTTAGGGTGGCTAGAATAATAACATCAATGCCCATTTCTAGGGCCTACCCAGAGAGGTGTATTACGTGATTGTTGTCCTGTTGTCAGAAAGCTGCAAACATTCACTTTGCCCCTGCCCTTGTTGACTTCATCATGTGACTTTCACTGTCATCACTGAAGAGTAATAAATATCTCTCTGGCACATAGGGCCCTCTATCTGGGAAATCCCAATCTCAGTGCCAGAGAAAAGAGAAACAGGCATGGAGAGAGAGAGAGAGAGAGAGAGAGAGAGAGAGAGAGAGAGAGAGAGAATGAATCAGGAGTCTTGCTGGAGCCACAGAAGCCTTTGGATTATCCCACAATGTGGTGCTGGATCTTCCTTCTCCTTTGCCAAAATATGAGAACTACAGAATAATGTGTGGGCAGGGGAACACTTGGCCTATATACATTTAATACTCAGATCTGCTTATGTCACTTTCCTGCTTAAAAACCTTCAGTGGCTCCCCATAAAGTGCAAACTTGTACAACTGGCATTGAAGTTTCTCCTTAATTTGACCTCATAGTGCTTTTCCAGCCTTATTTCATACTATTCCACTTTGTTTACTCTATGTTCTAGACAAACTGGACCTACCTGTTTCTCAATCTTGTTCTGCTAACTCCTACCTTAGTCTGTTCAAATAGGTCATCTCCCATGTCTGGAATGCATTCCCATCAGTGCTTACTGAGATCTTTCTCTTACTTCAAGACCCAGCAGAGGTGCCATCTTTTTTCTTTTCTTGATGTCGCTCCCTGTCCCTCCCCCCTTTAAAGAGATCTCATTCTTTTCAAATTTTCTTACAGTACTTCATCTGGATCTCTTTTTTAGTCATCATTATGCTCATTACATATTTATTAAACTATAAGATCCTTGAGGACGGACACAGTGTCCTTTCTTATCTTTGTATTTGTCCCCAGTGCAATGCTACGTACACAGTGTACTTAACAAATAATATTGGTTGAGTTGAAGTGACCAAAGAACTAATCCCTGATAAGTCAGGCTCCCTACACTAGTTATTCAAGATGATCAGGGCATTCCTGCTTTATGCTTGCATTCTAGTTTTAGTGAAAAGAAGACTGAGTTTGTAGTAAAATACCTAAGTTGAATCCCAGTTTTGCTATTTCCCAACCTGTGTGACCTTGGCAAGTTCTTCTCTTCCTCTTCAACCCCCCCCAGCCTGCTGCTGTTTCCTCTGCTGTAAAATGAAGAAGTTGGGCTAGTTGATCTCTAAGCTTCTTTTCAGCTCTAAATCTTATGAATTCATGAATGAATATCCTTCGTAAAATGGTTATAAAAACTATCTATTGTTGGGAGTAACACTGAATTGAGATTAACATCCTTAAGTACTCTCAGCAAGAGAAGGGGTGTTTGTAGTCATATAATAGTGTTGAATTGCACAGAATCATTTATATGGTGTGGTTGGTCAAATGATATCCCCTGAAATGTAAATATATACAGTAAAATCTTGATAAGGAAGATATAAGTCTTGCTGTAAATTTTGTCTGTAATTGTAGCACCAGGTTTTGTGGCTGAACTTCCCAAGGTCCAATCTTTAAAGGTTAGGAATGTACCTTTCAAGTCTTAGTTTCCTTTAATGTTATATCACTCTATTATCTGTGAATTTATCAAAGCCTTTTTTTACCCACTCCTTGGGGTAACATCGAATATATCTAATACCTTCACTATGAACAATTACTTCTCTTTATTTGTTAATCTTTAAGCATAGAGAGTGCTGCCTCCTAGTTCTAATATTCTAGATTTGGTTAATAAGGTCATATTCAACCTGTTCATTCTTCTTATAATTTTACAGATTTATATTCTATCTATTCTCTTTTGCTTTCTGGGCTAAAAAAGTTAGTTTGTTTTCATGATGAATGCAGTTAACCTATAAAGTAGGCATTAACTCCTCCCCCCAATCAATGTTCATGCAAAGTATCTTTTCCAAAGTCTTTTCTAACAATAATAACAATTCACATATGTGTGTGTACACACACACATATACACACAGGCTCTTTATGCATAACAGCCCTGTGAGGTAGGTTTTAGAAGTGAGAAGTAGTACTTTTTTACAGATGAAGAAAAATCTTCAGCATGCCTTGTTTTATCCCCTTAGTAACAGTAGAAAGCAGGTAGGGCAGTTATCCTTTTTTCTCTCTTAAGAGAGAATACCTCTAGGTTTTTCTTTCCTGTTGATTTCTGGGTTTACAGTTTCTTCTGAAATTCAACATCACCTTTCCTGGGGACTAGGCTTCAGCTACCCTGAGTGATACCCCCAACGTCTGCCAGCATAACCTTTCTGATCTTTTGTGCTTTGTGTCTCCCCACAGCCTTATGTGTCCGTGGCTCAGCAGATGGCACCACCTAGTCCAAGCAGCAACAACATCAGTGGCAGCAGTGGGGGTGGTGGAGGTGACCAGCTGAGCAAAACCAATCTCTACATCCGAGGGCTGCAACCAGGCACCACAGACCAGGACCTAGTCAAGCTCTGTCAGCCGTAAGTTAGGGCACCATGTGGGCAGGTTCCCATGGGCAGTGAGACATGGGAAAATTCCTGCTTCCTGCCAGATATCCTTACTCTGAAGTGCTACAGTTCTTTGCCTCTTTTTCATTCCTTCTTGAATCTCAATTTTGCTCCTCCCACAGAAATCACAAACCTCCATTATACTCTTTTGAGTCTAGAGGAAACGGGGAAGGGGTGGGGTGCTGATTTTTGAAGCCCAGTCTATGAGTCTTTTTTCCAATATCTTCCCCAAACTGGGAGCCTCAGTGAAAAGATTTTTCTCACCCTATAGTCTTGAATGAGAAAACTAGCCTTTGGGTCTTATTTATTTTTCTACTGACTGGAGGGCATTTGAGGAGGTTAGACAAAATTAGAGACTCCGAGCTAGTTGTAGGCTTGGAGCCTGCTGATTGAGAGCTTCGCTTGCCAGAGAAGCATTGATTTGGAAGGAAAAAAGGAGTAGAGAAAGAAAGGAAAGATTGGTGGAATCAAAAATGGAGACTGTCATTCTCTGGCTGCCCCCGAGGTCCCTCCGAGGTTTTGCAAAGTAACTCTGAGTCGTGAGGTGGGTGGTAGCCTCAACTCACCCCTGGCAGGAATGCTGGAAGAATCATAAGAGCTCAGAAATGCCCTGTTTGGTTTCACTTGGAAGGAAAACATACGTTTCAAATCAGGAATTTGAAAGGAGTTGGGGTACAGGGAGAGTGGAATGGAAAAGGTAGACGGAGGGTGAATAGTAGGAGTGTACAGAAAGAAGGCAACAGAAGAACCTTAGGTGACTGACTCACAGAACCCATCATGGAATTTGAGAGATGGAAGAGACCTCAGGAGCCATCTAGCTTAATCTGGATGTGAAATACCCCCCCCCCACTGTAACCTGCCCAATAAGTGATCATGCAGCCTCTGATTGAAGACTCCTAAAGAGGGGGAGCCCACTGCCTCTCTGAGCTGCTCCTTCTGCTTGCTGACAGCTCTGGTTATTAGGAAGGTTTGCCTGAATCAAGCCTGAATTTGCTCCTTTGCAGCTTCCATCCATTGCTTCTGATTCTGGCCTCTGGAGTCAAATACACATCTGATCCTTCCTTCATGTGGCCACCTTTCAAATGCTTGAACACATGCCAGAATAAAAGAGATGGATTTCCTGATGGCAAGATGACCAAAAGTTCTGCCTCAGGGACACAGGTCAGAACATCCAGTGTCAGTGGCCCTTAAAAACTCAGGTTATGACTCCTTACCTCTCACTAATAATAGCAGTCTATTATAGGTCAAGCACATTTGCTCCAGAGACTGTTCCATTCTTATAAATAGTACAGGTGGGGGGGGGGGGAATAGGAGGGGATCCAGAGATGAACTTAGCACAAAAAGGGATTGGGGAACAGGCCTTTTAGAAAAAAAAACTACTTTGTACTCACCCATTTTAGTACTCAGTGGGCCATAAACCTCACCCACCACCCTTCCATTATGCTATGCACTTTTACATTCTCAGTGCTGTAACATACTATGTTGTAAAAATCCTGGGCTCATCTTTGCCCCTCCCAAAGGGCAGGAAGAAAACAACTTTCCATATCACCATGACTTAATGTCCCTAACGCTTTGCAGACACACACACACACACACACACACACACACACACACACACACACACACACACACACACGTTTTCATATTCTCTTGGAAAAGCTGTGTATGGAATGGAAGTAAGAAACCAAAAAAAGTTATGTATTTTCTTGTATTTCTGTTTCTCAATATATTTTATTGATGCCATTTGCCTTCACATCATAGTCATTTCAGTGCCCCTTCCATCCCAGTTTGAATCTTCCCTTACGATGAATCAAAACAATTAAGTAAAAACATCTGACACTGACCACATCTAACAATGTATGTAATATTCTGTCTTACTTGTTCCTGTCTCTTTGGTTTGAGGAGGGAAGTATGTTTTGTCTGTTTTCTGGGACCTTTCTTGGTTTTTCAGAAATTCAGTTGAATTTCCCTCATGTTTTCTGACCCTCTTATTCATTTTTTCTTATTACTTGAGGTGATTGACTATTCAATAATAATATTCGCTCTGGACTTTTAGAGACATTAGACTGAAGGAATTGGGCTCTAGACAGATAATAAGGAGGGGAAGACTGACAATAGCAGGTAGACTGGAGCCTGGGAAAATGAACAAGGTGTTGTCTTTCTCTAGCCTTATTTGCCAGTCCAATAGACTTTTTAGCCATTAACCTTCTTGCCCTTTCTTTAACATTTAACACTGTTGACTACCCCTTTCTTTTTTTGTTTTCTTTTCACTCTGCTTCCATGACACTGATCTTTTGGTTCTGCTATCTGACCTTTCTTTTACCTTGTTGTCTTCCTTCACTGGTTCATCTTTTTGCTACCCTTTCAGTGTGACTGTATCCCAAAGCTCAGTCCTTAGCAAATTTGACTTCAATTGTTACCTGATTGACTTCTGAGTTTACATATACAGCCCCAATCACTCCCTTAAGATTCAGTCCCACATTTCTAACTGCCTGGCTGTATATCTTCACTGATACCTCAAACTCAGCATGTCTAAAATTCAATTCATCTTCTCCCCATTATCTTATCCCAAATTGCTTCTTCTCCTATTTTGTTAATTCTACTGTTATCTAGGCTTGAAACCTTGAAGTAATCTTCAATTCTTCATTTCCCTCACCCCTCATATCCTGTTTATTCCATCTTCTAAGCATCTCATGTTGCTATCAAGAAGAGATTAATGAAGAGGAGAGCTACATTCATGTGATCAACTCTCCTCATTCAGTCCCTTGTTACCTCTCACGTGGTCTGTTTTAATAGCTTCCTAATTGGTCTCTCTACCTCCACTCTTTTTTCACCCAATCTCTCTTCCACACAGCTGCCAAAATGATCTCCTAAAACATAGGTCTGATTATATCACTGTCCTGCTCAAAAACTTTCAGTGGCTTCCCATTGCCTATGAAGTAAGATACACAATCTTTAGCCTGATTTTTTTTTAAGAGACTTAACAAAATAGCTTCAACCTATCTTTCCAGCCTTATTTCAGTCTATTCACCTTCATGTACTTTTTATTTTAGACAATTAATTAATTTATTTCCAATCTTATAATTCTTTCCCCACTGCCATACATTTTTGTAGACCATTCCATATATACCCAGGAACATAACCCTCTACATCTTTGTTGAAACGATTTTCCTTTCACGGCCATAGCTTAGGTGCCTTCTCTTCCATGAGTCCATCCCTAGTCTAGCCTAACTTCCCTTGCTGAACGTCATTTCTTACTACAACGTGGTTGATATTTTACCCTTCACCTTTATAGTCTCAGTCCCAAGCCCCAGTGCCTTACACACAGTAGACATTTTTATTAATAAATGTTGAATTAGAAGGATTTCCTGTCCTTGTCCCTGTTGTTTCAATGACAGTATCCCTCACTTGTAGGTAAATTAGAACCTAACCTCAGGTTGGAAAGGAAGTAATATGGAGATTGGAACTATAGATCTTAGTTCTCTTAGCAGGAATCCTTTAAGGAGGAAGCACCATTGGCGCAACTCTAACCAGATCCACTGGAAATTCTTGGCTCAAAAGCTCCTGCCCCACCCGAGGCTCTGTGTGGGACAGCGGCATCTTCTGTCTGTAGCCTGACTTCTTTTGTGTCCCTCCCAGCTGCTTGCAGTCGGGAGACCACTCAAGTGTTTTGGTAGTTGAGGGGCTGGGATTGCCCCAAATATCCCCATTTTCAATCTAATGGCCAGCCTCTGCCTTCTGGGCTCCATTTGTCTCCCTCTTCTTTACCTCCTCCCTACTCCCCAGAAACAGAAGCCCCATTGAAGGAATCAACTTGGGCCTGAGAAGCCAAAGAATAATTGAGTCCTCTGTCCCTTCTCCAGGGCCTGGGGGAAGGGTGGGAAACATGCTTGATCAGGGTCACATTCCCTAAACTGTCCCTGCATTTTCTCTTCCGCTGGATTTGTGACCCCTGCTCTGCCTTTTTAAGATTCCTTCCTCCATCTTTTGGAATATACAAGAATATTTAGGTTAGGGGAAGTTCTATAGGGCTGCTAATGCACCTCAGTCCTGAATCCTATACACTCCCCTCTGGGCTGTGGGAATTAGTAACCTAGGAGTCTGGGAGACCCTGAAGCAGATAGTAGGGCCTTTGGAAAAAGGTGAAAGTTGAGATCCTGGGGCAGAGGTGGGGTAAGCCGGACTGGCTGGAGGCAAGGTCAGCTGAGGGGCAGTCATTTGGAATTCCTGGTGTCTGAACTGGTGCCACTGGGCCTTGAAGATCAATCAATCAACAAACATTTAAATGGCTACCTAGTGCCAGGTGTTGTGATCTATGGTAGAAATACAAAGACAAAAGGGAAACAGGAGGTTCCGTTCTTCAGGAGTTGTGTGTGGGGTGGGGAGATAGCTGTACATAGTGGTCCATTTACAGGTATGTTCAAAATAAATACCAGGTAATTTGGGTGGGGAAGACACTAAGCAGCTGGGGAAATGAAGAAAAGTGGTACTTGAGTTGATTCTAAAACTAGAGGTCCTCTTCAATGTAAGGAAGGACTACGTTCTAAGTATAGAAACGGCCAATACAAAGACATGTAGAGAGGAAACAGGGTGTCATCCATGAAGAATTGTCAGAAGGCCAATTTGACTTTACGATAAAGTAATGTATAAACAGACTGGAAAGGTAGGTCGGGGTCAGGTTGTGAAGAGCTCTAAATACCAGACCAAGGAGTGTGAGAATGTGGATATGCTGTGGCCCAAGCTAGATGAGCAGCTTCAAGGCCTTTGTATCAAGCACCTGGCAGAGTGGATGCTTAATGCTTGTAGACTGACTGATTGGTTTTCTAGGAGCTGTAGCTTCCCTCCCCAATCTTATAATCCCCCATTGTGTAGATGGTATCTGATTTCATTCACAAGGTCTCTCTTAAGGGTATGGAGAGATATGGTGATGTTGGTAGTTAATTTCTTCTCCATGTTGGAGATTGCTACTTGGAACCAATAGGGGAGACCTGCACAACTTGGCAGTAGGTAGCGGCCAAAATTAAAATAGGCTAAACTTCTTCGGGCTGCAGATAGGTTTTTAGTGGCTCACTTTCCAAGTAAGGGTGTAAGTAACGATTAAACTCTTTTGCAAATAAACTATATTTTTAAAAAGAGAAATTTCAATAATATCAGTTAATTACACTTATTACTTAAGATTTTTATTTATCATGAAATAGCTCCTCTCAGACTAGAGACAGACTGATGATGGTTGGTTGCCAATGGTTACATGGCAAACAAGAGCAAGTGCACAGTGGCAACCCACCTGCCAAGTTACATGACCAGCACAGTAGTGACTATTAGAAGGTGGGTTAAGCGGGGCACAGACAAAGCACTGTTACATCTTTACTTTCTTTTATATCCTCTACATTTTTTGAGGGCTGCCTGGAAATCCTTAGGTGGGCTGAAAGCAGCCCTATGGCTATATGTTGTGCAAGCCTGCAATGGGGAGAACAGTTGTCCTCATAAGTATTATGCTTGGAATGGGAGGTAGGGTGGACTCATTTACCTATCTCAGTGCTCAGAGTTTACTCCTGTTCTTGCCCCCAAATAATTACTTTGCTTTTCTTCCCTCCCCTTTTCCTACCTAGATATGGCAAAATTGTTTCTACTAAGGCCATATTGGACAAGACAACAAACAAATGCAAAGGTGAGAAGACAGACCGTCTTTGGGGGTAGGTAGTTTTTTTAAAGTGGTTGTCTCCTTGTACATTTCCTTTGCCCCTAGATTAGCAAGCACAGTGCCAGCAAATTAGTTTCGCCTGCCAGTCTTTTAGAACTGATTGATAGTCCCTAGAATTCTTGATGGTCATATTGCTTTAGCTATGAATGCCATCATGGTTACTCAGGCATAGTAGACTTTGAATATATACTACACAGAAACTTCCTTGGGTTTATTTCTTGCCCATGTTTTTTTCTGAATTTGGTGGTAGAAGTGGGCAGGGGCATGTGAATTAAAACTTAGCCTAGCAACTTAATTTTCTTTTGTGACTATAAAGTAGGTATGTGTATCTGGAAGCAAATACTATTCCTGATAGTAACTCAGTTGTGTTTAGATGAATTGGGCTGGGTTTGGGAAACTGAAAGGAAAAAAGTATTGATCATCAGGGCTACCATAGTAGGTGGTCTGTTGCTTGCTCTTGCCGTTGAGAAGCTATATTCCCAACATGGCTGATATTTCAGGGATGTGACAGGGTAACTAGAAGGGAAACCCCTCCCAATTGTAGTTATTGGGTAGAACTCCTGAAATTTTTAGTTCCAGGCAGAAAGGAGTAAAGGGTTGGAGGAGAAGACATGTAGTTAATCCTGTCATACATTGTTAGAAATCTCCAAGGGTTTATAGAATCTCTGGAGAGCATTTGAAATCTTCAGTTTTCCTTCCTTTCTACCATTTGTACTATATAACTAACTCTTCCTCAGCCCCCTGAAAAGCCTCTCCTACCTGCCTAATGTCCCCTTTACAGTTAATGTGGTCCCCTTTTTCTAGGCTATGGCTTTGTAGATTTTGACAGTCCTTCAGCTGCACAGAAAGCTGTGACTGCGCTTAAGGCCAGCGGGGTACAGGCACAGATGGCAAAGGTAAGGGGATTTCCTTATTCTCGGCACCTCCCACCTCTCTAGGGGCTTGGATAGCCCAGGGGATAGTCTCAAGCTCAAAGTTTTCAGAGAACTCAAAGAACCCTGACTGAGTACGGCTCATGCCAGTGCCCTCAGTTTTCTGGGTGAGGCCCCACCTGCTTGGCTGGTAGGAAGGAGGCTGACTTTATGGATAATACAGACAAGTTATGAGGAACAGAAATTCAGTTCCACCAAGGGTCTAGACCCCCAATTCATAAAGCCACACTCCTCTCACTACCACTTTCTATTAGGCTAGGGGACCGATGACCTGAAGCCCTTTCCCTGCTGTGCCTCTGGTGTCTTGCAGAGGTTTTGCAATTCTTCTGAAGCCTGTTGTACTATTAGGTGCTAATGTTCTTCACTCTCACTCCTCCCTCTCAACATTGTTCCCTCTGAGTTTGGGGTAACCATTGCAGGAGATTGAGGGAGTCAGGAAACATCTCTTTCTCTGATCTCTTCCATAACCTGACCAGGAAATGCTCTTTTCTACTAGGCTGTGGGCCCTGGGGTCTTTTCTTTTTTTCTCCTTGGTAGAGAATTTTGTCTTTGCAATGCTTATTGTTAGGTGGAGGCCTAACTTCTGCTCTGTGAATTAAAGGAAAAGGAAGCCTTGAAGGCAAAGATAGGAGAAAGTCTTAAACTGAGGGTGTTCCGGGGCCCTGGGCAAGCTGGCTAACTGCCAAGGTTCTTGGGATTAGACCTTTATGTAGAGAGGGCCGTGCCTATACCCTACCCCTGGGAAAAGCCCTCAGAAAGGCTCTCCAACTTCTGCTGTCTGGAGAGTGGCTGTAAGAGGCTCTGGGAGCTGTCCAGAATGAAGCCAGGTTATGCCTTAGTGTAGTCCCTGGCACATGACCCTTCTTTTTTCTTTCCTCTCTTTGCCCTCCCTTCATCAGAAAGTGAATGTGCATTCCTGCTAAGAGGGATTCTGCTATGGCCGGAAGATGGGGGAGGGGGAGTTCTTAAAACAGTCCAGCCTGAACAGGTGTTTCAGGAGTCTCCTGCCTCTTGGGACTGTCTGCAAAGGAGTACAGAGCCTGGTGCCCTGCCTGGCTCCTAAAGGAGCAGTCATAAACTTCACTGGTGTCGCTAATACCAATGAATTGAGATCTGAATTAGAAACAATGGGTAGTCTCCTCCTTTCATCATTATTCCAGGATAGAGCTAGTAGCTGGGAAGTGGGGAGGGAGGAATGGTTATAAATACCTCCTTGTGTTTGCATCTTGTTTTTTCCTGAAATGTGGGTGGGGGGGGGGGGGAGGAGAATGCCTTACCTATTGTCACATTTATGCTTTCATAGCAACAGGAGCAGGACCCTACAAATTTATACATCTCAAACCTCCCAGTGACTATGGATGAGCAGGAGTTGGAGGGGATGTTGAAGCCTTTTGGGCAAGTCATTTCTACTCGAATTCTTCGAGACACAAGTGGGACCAGTCGAGGGGTTGGCTTTGCAAGGTAAGAGGCCCTGAGAGCAGACAGTGTGGAAAGTCTGTTGTCAACCTGACCCTTCCTAAAGGCACTGGGAATTCAGGAACAAGCAGGGGCCTAAGCCCTTGATTCAGAAATACTTGATGGCAATTTTAATTTTTATTCATGTATATTTATTTTATAATCACTCACATATTTGCATCACTCTTTTTGGTCCTGACCTGTGATTTGATAGGCATAAAGAACTCCTGGTGATTGAACTCCCTCTACCAGTGCAGAGAGGCAATTGTTTTTTAACTTAGAGTCTTAAATAATTGCTTGGGGTAGAAGTGAAGTGACTTGGCCAGAGTCATGTCACCTGTTTGTGTCAGAGGCGGGATATGAGCCCAGGCTTTGAGGTTTTGTTTCCTCTGCCTAGCTGCCACTTTTAGCCCCTTAAGGTTTATAAATCATTTTCTTCATGACTACCTTGTGAAGTAGGTATGTCAGATTTCATCACAAAAATGTTTTGGCTCCTAACCTTCCCCCAACTGCTTCCTATTTCTCTGTCATGTACCTCTTTTTCCCAGGCTTAGAAACAGTTCTGGTGACTTCTGCATAGGTGCCTGTTGTTCAGCCTGGTCCCTATTGAGTCCTTCAGCCCTGTATTGAAGAAGAATAGAACGCTTCCCTGCATGTTGAGTCTTGTTCACATGACATGCTGTGTGATGTTTAACAGCACCAGGGTCCGGTCACTGATCTCTCTTGTCCTGAAATGTCATCTCCCTAGAAATATCCAATTCTGTGCTCTTCCATCTCCTACCTTACCAGAAAGGTCCCTAGATTTTGATCTACATATTCAGATAGAAAATATGTTAGAGTTTTGTTTTAACATAGTAGGAGAACTTTATAGTTTTAAAAGTATGTTCACATTTATTTCATTTAGTCCTCAAAATCCTGTGAGATGGAGTGAGATATGTATTACCCCTGTTTTACAAATGAAGAAACTGAGACTCAGAGATTTAAAGAATCAGAATAGCTATTAAGAGGTAGAGTTAAGACTAGAACATGGGTCTTTATATTCTTTTTTTTTCTTTTTTTTTTGCAAGGCAATCAAGGTTAATTGACTTGCCCAGGGTCACACAACTAGTAGGAATGAAATGTCTGAGGCCAAATTTGAACTCAGGTCCTCCTGACTCCAGGCCCAGTGCTCTATCCACTGCACCACCTAGCTGCCCTGGGTCTTTATATTCTTAAATCATCTGTTTCATCACATTGGAAAGATTTTGCTTCTCCCACTTCCTAGAATATGTAGAACTTCTGCGATTATGACTGGTTACATTTGAGACAGACTAGACGCTTAGGAACGCCTGCTCTTAGAGAATTTGGGCTGTACATTTACAGTCAGAGAAGCCAAAACCTAACCATTCCCTCCTGTCCTCTGTAGGATGGAGTCCACAGAGAAGTGTGAAGCCATCATCACTCACTTTAATGGCAAATACATTAAGACACCCCCTGGAGTACCAGGTAATGGAGATAAGGTTTGGGGTTGAGAGGTCCATGGGGAACTCATTCCACAGTAAGATAGAAGCAGAGTTGTACGTGGGTAAAGATGGGGCAGAACTCAACTTCCTGTCCACTTTTCTTCTGGCAGCCCCATCTGATCCTTTGCTCTGCAAATTTGCTGATGGTGGACAAAAGAAACGCCAGAACCAGGGGAAATATGTGCAGAATGGCCGGTCTTGGCCGAGAGATGGTGATGTGGTAAGTAGGGTAGGAGGCTTATAGGAATGCAGGAGTAACATGAAGACAGTAAAGTAGGATGGAAGATCTGTTAACTTGATTTCTGAGATACCTGATATCAACCCAAAGTCCTAACAGATAACAGGCATCCCCTTGAGGGAGAATGGCTGCTTAACTCCAGGGCTTTTGTAGAAGATCCTCTGCTTTTGAAACAGTAACAAAGCTTCTACTCAATACAACCTCTGAGGCTAAGATGCAACAGAGCACGGATTGATTCTCTGCTGCTTGTGCTAATTTTAGCCTGACCATCAACACCAAGAAAGCAGAAGTTCTCCACCAGCCAGCACTGCACTACACCATCCATACATGGAGCCATTGGTTACTGCAAATGGAGAAATTTTGAACACTATGGATAAGTTCACTTACTTTGGCAATATACTTTCCAGGAAAGTCCACATAAATGATGAGGTTGATGTACTCAGTGCCAGAGCTAGCACAGTGTTTGGAAGGCTCCAAAAGAAAGTGTGAGAGATAGGAGGTATTAGGCTGCCTACCAAACTGAAGGTCTACAGAGCCATTTTGCTGACCTCTTTGTTGTATGCCTGTGAAACCTGGACAGTCTACCAGTACCATGCCAGCAAACTGAATCACTTCCATTTGAATTGTCTTAGGAAGATTCTGAAGATCACCTGGCAAGATAATGTACTGGACACTGAGGTCCTCTGTCAACCTGAACTGCTAAGCATTCAAACTCTGCTGTAGAGAGTGCAACTCCAATGGGTTGGCCACATTGTTCGAATGCCAAGGGTACGTTTGCCTAAAAGGTTATTTTGTGGAGAACTCAGACAAGGCAAGCACTTACTTGGAGGTCAGAAGAAGCGGTCCGAGGATTTCTGAAGAACTTTACCAAGGTTTCTCTGAAGAACTTTAGTATCTATTGTGAGACACGAGAGACTCTAATATAGGATCATCCAGCATGGCGAGCCCACATCGAAGAGGGCACTGTGTTCTGTAAGTGAAGCAGAATTGCAGTAGCTCAAAAGAATTGAGAGATGCACAAATTTGGAGCCGTCTCCACTCTAAATGTTCCAAAATTTGTGCCTGGCCTATGGTAGAAGCCTTCTGAGCTCATGTTGGATTAATCAGCCACAGTTGGGCACACTGTACCTTGACTCCATTATAATGATGTCATTTAGGTCCTCTTTGAGTATGAAGGACAAACAACAGACTATCTGCCATTGGGCTTGCTCAGGCCTCATCTTAGGGAAAGCCTTAATCCAGACTTTCCAATTTTGACTGTCTTAATCATTTGGAAACGAAAGGTTTCTTGTGCCTATAGAATCTGAGTATTTTCCTGCTCCTCACCCAAACACTCCCAAGGTAATCTGTGTGCTTTTCTCTCACAGGGTGGCATGGCACTGACCTATGACCCCACCACAGCTCTACAGAATGGGTAAGTCCTCATCAGGATTCCATGCTATGACTGTGACATTCAGGGGCAGGATTTGAACTAAGAGCTCACATACAGAATGGAGAAATAGAGACATTTTCGTTAAAAACCGATGTAAATCAGGGCTGTGTGCTATCGCTTTTAATTTTATGTAATCTTAATAAATATATTAGCTGATGTTTGTAAAGTGCTTTAAAGTTTATTTATTTTCCTCCTCACAGCTTTGTGAAGTCAGGTAGTAGCAGGATAGGAGTATCTCATTTTATAGAGGAGACAAATGAAACTTAGAAAGCTTAAATGACTTGTAGAGTCCCCTCTAGTGAGCTTCCCTCCAGAATGAGGTAGGGGTCCCTGTCTTCTGACTCCTAATTCTCTCTAGTACACCATGCCTGCCTCTTAGAAATGTTAGCAATTCAATAAGGCATGAAAAAGAAACTACTGGAAAAAGGATGGCCAGGGTAGAAGTTAAAATATCTCTATTTGCAAATGACATGATGGGATAAGTATTTGGAAGATCTGAGAAATTTAAGGGTAAAAAAATGAGGTGATTATTACCTCTATCTAGGTAACAGTATACAAGATAAATCCACAAAGAAATTTGCATTTCCATATATCACAAACAAAAATAAAAAAACCTGGTAGAGAAATACCATTTACAGTTATGACAGAGGGCCAAATATTTTTTCAAGATGACTAAGACATATGAGAGACCTATACAGAGACAAATTTGAGAGATTTTGTTGAATATAAATTAGAAAGAACTTAACAATTACAGGGATAATCATCCCCACCACATACACGCACATATACATATATATGTGTATATATATATGTGTGTGTGTGTGTGTGTGTGTGTGTGTGTGTGTGTGTGTGTGTGTGGTTAGGTATAACCAAAATACTTCCCTTATTAGTTTATAGATTTTATTCTACTATCAGTTGAAATACCAAAGGGCTATTTTACACAATTAGAAAAATCCAACACAAAATTAATTATAGAAAAATAGACAGAAATATCAAGAGGTACTGTGGAAAAATATTTATGTAGAATTTGTCCTACAAGCTTTCAAGATAAAGTGTTAAATGGTCACTGTAAAATAGAAAAATAAATCATTGGAATAGAAAAAAATCCATAAATAGAACCTAGTCTATCATTATTATTAATGTTTGATAGAGCCTGCAAATATGACTTTGGGCAAGTCCCTTACTTAACCTCTTTGGGTTTATTTTATTCACCTGTACAACGAAAGGGTCAGATGAGATAGCGTCTGAGGTGTCCCTTCCAGTTCTTGAGTCTGTGGTTATGTAAGTTAGGAGAAGGATTCATTCAATTTTTAAAATTTAGGAAATTTGGGTAATAGTATTATGGAGCAATTCTGATAACTTTCATTGCAGACCTCACATCCTCCAGTTGAATTAATACTCTAAATTATTTCTTGAAACTGAAAGAAAATTGTTTATCTCATTTGTGAAAAGGAAAAATTTTCTCTTGAACAAATGGAAGAAATTATTGGTGACAAAATTGATGTATCTTATTATATAAAAATATTTTTAATTGTTTATTTTTCATTATGTTTTGCATGACAAACTCAAGGAATGTTAAATGCCAACTATGTGTGAGACAGCTTTTAAAATGGCGCATCCTCTGCTGTCAGGGTTGAGAGGGGATATGGTTTGATACAAGGAAGACTATAGTAAGGGCAAAGGAGAATTTTTGAATTTTTTTTTTTGAAGGGAGGGTGGAACTGCATCAAGAAAGGGTCTGTAAAGAAGTAGCATCTGAACTGGGCCTTTAAGGAAGGAAGGCACTTGAACAGGTGGAGTAGAGGATGGAGTCTATGCCAAGCACTGAGGAGCAGAGATGGGTGGAGAATAAGGCCTTAGAGAGGCTAGGACAAGTATGAGAGATGGAGAGAAGTTCAGTTTGGCTGGAATTTGGAATAGTTGTAATATGTGATGGTTGTGCAGTAAGAAATGTTGAGGTAGGCAGGTTGGACCCTTGAATGCCAATGTGTTTAAACTTTTTTCTATAGGCAGTGAAGAACTGCTTAGGATTTTTGAGTAGGTGAATGGACATGATCATGCTAGTGCATCATAAAAATTCCTTAGGCATGGAAAATAGAAGGGAGAGGTAATGGATAAGATGGAGAAGGATGACTTAACAGGAAGAGCAGTGGTTGAGGAGGTGGGCATGCAGAAGGAAATGTGAGGGATATTGCAGTTGGAAACAAAAAAACTTGGCTACTGATGTGATGTCTGGGGTTGAGGGAGAGAGAAGAGTCAAAGATGATTAAGAGTAACTGGGAAAGTGGTGGGGCCATTCACAGAGGAGGGGAAGTTAGTGAGGGTGGCAGATTTTTTCCCCCACTTAATAGTATTTTATTTTATTTTTTCAATTACATGTAAAGATAGTTTTCAATATTCACTTTTATAAGATTATGAGTTCCATATTTTTCTCTCTCACACCTCCCCTCCCCAAGACAGCAAGCAATCTGATATAGGTTACACATGTACAATCATGTTAATCATACTTCCACATTAGTCACATTGTAAAAGAAGAATCAGAACAAAGGGGAAAACCGTGAGAAAGAAAAAACAAACAAACAAACAAAAACCAAAAAAAGTGAAAATAGTTTTCTTCAATCTGCATTCAGACTCCGTAGTTCTTTCTCTGGATGTGAATAGCATTTTCCATCATGAGTCTTTTGGAATTGTCTTGGATTGTTGTATTATTGAGAAGAGCCAAGTCTATCATGGTTAATCATCACACAATGTTGATATTACTATGTACAATGTTCTTCTGGTTCTGCTCACCTCACTTAGCATCAGTTCATTTAAGTTCAAGTTTTTCTGAAGTCTGTCTGCTCATCATTTCTTATAGCACAATAGTATTCCATTACATTCACATACCTCGTGAATACCATTCACACAATTTGTTCAGCCATTCCTCAATTGATGGGCATCCCCTCAATTTCCAATTCTTGAGAGTGGCAGATTTTTAAAGGAAAGTGTGATTAATTGAGTTTCAAGGTACCATCACATCATCCAGGGGAAATATCTGGCAGATAGAAGTATGATATTGTGCTATAGAGAGATTTTCTAAATAAAAAGAAAAATGTATTCGTGGTAGATATAGCTAATATTTACAAAGAACTGATACAAAACTAGAAAGAAAATAGTAACCCTTCTCTAGTGGAGAAATGGTTCAAGGACATGAACTTGTAGTCACTGTATTTTGTGATTTTGGTAATTTTTTTATGTTATAAGGAAACTTGATTTGCGGTGAGGGAGTCCAGAATGACTATGAGGTAAAGAGAAAAGGCATCTTTTTTTTTTTTTTAAATGGCAGGACTACAAGGAAACAGGCACACCTGGGTAGGATGAGATAGTGGGAATCACCAAAATTAACTATGGGACCCTTTATCCCATGGTTACCTCTAACCCTTTTATCTAGTATGACTCTTTCCTACAGGTTTTATACAGCATCACCCTACAGCATCACCCCCAACAGGATGATTGCCCAGACCACACTATCCCCCTATCTTCCATCTCCTGTATCTTCATATCAGGTAAAAGCATCATCATAAGGGAGGGAATATGCATTCTCTTTTGTTTAACATGGTGGTTTAGGTGAAAAGGGTGCTTCTTTTTTTCTTTTTTTGGTGAGGCAGTTGGGGTTAACACAGGGTCACACAGCTAATAAGTATCAAGTGTCTGAGGCCGGATTTGAACTCAGGTCCTCCTGACTCCAAGGCCGGAGCTCTATCCACTGTGCTACCTAGCTTCCCATAAGGGTGCTTATTCTTAATGCCTTTGTTATCTAAGTCCAGTTTTTATTAGACTGTTGACCCTGGCTTTGCCAACATTTAGTTTCAGGGGCTAGGCCGGGCCCAGTAGGCAATTACCTCGATTACATTTTCCTTTTCCCCAATACGGGGTGGCTCAGACATCTCCATTCTCTGTAGGTTCACAGCCCATCTTGGATGCACCACCAGTCATACCTCATGCCGCCTGCAGTGAGTGTCTCTAGTCTTTCCTGCAAGGGGCGGGGTGAGGGGGGTGGGGGAGGCATTACCCTGAGGAAGGTGGCAAAAACTAAAACGTTCCTAGCCAGGTAGCCTTACCTCTCCTCGTTCAGCCAGACAATGGAGTCAAGGGAATCTCTTCTTACAGCACTGCTTGACGCTCACCTTTCTCACTTCCTGCCACGTAACAGGGCTTTTTTGTGTTCTCCAGGGGCCATTATTAGCCTTCATTTCAGGCTGGTCACTGGTCCTGAGACTGAAGACTTTGAAGCTAACCTTGTCCCTGTTCTTTCCTGTCTTCCTGTTTATTCCCCAAGGGCGCAGTCCTGACCCCAGGGATGGACCACACCATTTCCATCCAGCCTGCCTCAATGATGGGACCTCTCACTCAGCAACTGGGCCACCTTTCCCTCAGCAGCACGAGCACGGTAAAGCCATGGATAACTGAGGGTGGGGGGATGGACAATCACTTTAATATGAAAATTTCCGGGGATCTCTTAGACTCCCTACAATCTATGTAATTATGTATAAAAATGCTCAACACATGGTTTTTCATTAGAATAGAACCCGTGATTATGTGAGTGGGTCAGAGGCATCCCATTAGGTATAAAATATCCATCTGCCTCTTCATCATTATTCCTTCCATTATCTCCTTCAACCAAGTCCTGCCTCATGAAGTTGTACAGGCAGGCAGAAATATGATACTTCCTAAGTTTCTGCAGGTTGTCTAGAAATCCTTACAAGAAGAAGAAAAATTCTTGCATTTTTATGCCATTTCATTCTGGAAAGGTGCCAATTTGCACAACAAAGCTCAGGGTTAGAGAGCACAATGAATGAGCCAGGGTTGGTAGATGGGAAAGGCCTGGGTAGCTGAAAGGCCAGAGGGGGGGATGGGGAAAGAAGAAGAGGCTCCTCCATCCTCTTGATGTTTTCCTCCTCCTAGTATATGCCCACAGCTGCAGCTATGCAAGGAGCTTATATCCCCCAGTACACGCCTGTGCCTTCTTCCAGTGTTCCTGTTGAAGTAAGAGCTTTGTGATTTCTTTAGGGCTATGGGGGAGGCATGCAGGAATGTAAGAAAGACCTAGTCCCTGCACTCTTTGAGCTGCTGGACCCCTCATCTTCCTCACAGCTTTTTGCCAATAATCATGGCCTAGATGTTGATTATATAGACTTGTTAGCCTTGGGGGTGGAAGGAGGGTGGTGGTAAGGAGAGCAGGCTGCTCCATATTTGGGGGGTGAAATACTAGAGTTTGGGTGCATGTTAGTCTGTGGGAGGGTAGGGGCAGGGGAGGATGACCTCATTGCCTTGGTTATGATACAGGAGAACAGTGGCCAGCAAAGTCAAGTAGCGGTGGACCCTCCCTCCGATCATGCGGCCTATTCCTTCCAGTACAGCAAGTAACAGTGGGTAAGAGCCACATGGTGAGGGCAGGAGGGCCAGAGTTGGGGGGAGAGAGAGCTTATTAGAGGAGGTCCCAAGACCCAGGCAGTCTAGTGTTTCACAGTTGTCTGTTTCCCACCTATCCTTGCCACGTGGGTCATCTAGGTCTTGCGTGTGCTTGGCTCTTTCCAGCTCTGATGGGTTGGAAGTAGTTGGGGGCAGAAAATGAGGGATCAAGGTGTAGACTGGCCAACTCCAAGAAGGACTGACCATCATTATTATGAAAGACTGATATGTTTTACAGATGGGCCCAGGCCTGAGAGGACATCTCTGCTCTCATGCCCCACCTCTATCCCGCATCACTGGTGGAACCTGGGGTTACAAAGCCACCTTTCCTTTGTGCTGCATTCAAGGAGTTCAGATTTTTTTTCTTTCTTTTGCAAAGAAAACGTTTTTTAAAATCACAACAAACTCTACGCACCCCAAGGAGACCAACCAGTGACTGGATGTTCATGTCTCCGTATGAAAAAAATGTTGTGTTGCGTTGGGATTTATTGTTTGGGCTATTTTCTAAAATTTCTTTTAAAAGAAAGTGGAAAGCTTTGTTGCTGGGGCATTGGCCATGGGTTCTTCTTGATGGGTTTGGTTACAGACTTCTGTTTTTATTATTTTGTAGGGTTGTTTTTTTTTTTTCAAAGAAAATAAGCAGTTTGTTGAATTTTGTTTTGTAAAGCTCCCAGAATCCATGCCTGCCCCTCTCTTTCTGCTTCTTCCCCAAGTTCCACCCTAACCCAACCACTGCTTTCTTCCCACTCCCATGCTGCAGAACCTGCCCACTTTGGCTTTTTAACTTGGGGATTTTGGTTTTTTTGAAATGGAACTTTATTTTGTGAAATAAGAACAAAGCAGAGCGTGACTTGGGCAGTGGAAGGGGTCCATCCTTCCTCCTTTCTGCTCCTCTTCCCCGCTTACCTGCCTCCTACCTGGGGAAGAACACCAGACTTTGGCTGCAGGGAAGAGAAGCGTGTCCTTGGGCGCTCCAGAGACAAAGCCCCTGATCCCTCATGCCTGCCCATTGGACAGAGACAAGGTTTCCTCCAGAATGTCAGACAATGAATTCAACTACTTCTGCTCTTCTTCTTGCTGCTATGGGGACATCTCCATCCCAGGAAATCATCTTTGGCTTCAGCTCTTCAGGAATCCTAACTCTGCTGCTCTGGCTGGCTTTTTGTGCCATCTCCAGGAAAGGAGCTGTGGACCTGTCACTTTTCCCTTTCTCCCCACCTCTTTGCTGTGCTCAGAGCCCCAACAGCTAGAACATGTGCTGCCTTCCTCTTCCTCTTTGTCCCCTGCCTTCCTCCCCACCTTCTTTGCCAGGCATGGATCAGCTGACCAGCTGCTTCATCTTGGTGTAGATGATACTGCCCCACAGGACTTGGTAATTCTCCACCCCTGACCCTGGGATCCACAGTGCCTTCTGACATCCACCTTTAGGGATGCTGCCAGGGGAGACCATTACCCAGCCTCTCTGCGTGCACTGACTTACCAACAAGCTTTGGGTTGCATGTTAGAGAGAGAGAGAGAGAGAGAGAAAGAGAGTGAGTGAGTGTGTGTGTGTGTGTGTGTGTGCTCGCTGTTTGCATTTGGATGGGGGTAGAAAAGGATATACCAATCTCTGATTGTGTAGTTCAGCCTGCACTGTCCTGGTGAGCTTGCCCTTCTCCCAAGGTTCTGGGCATCTGCAGGCATCTTCCTTCTTCTGGAAGTCCAGCAGGTATCTGGGCTGGAAATGTGCAATAACCACCCCCACCCCACATTTCATCCTTCCTATGAGGCTAGGATTCTAGGGGAAAAGGCCCATGATTTCCATCCTACTCACCCTTCTCCTACTGCAAGATTTATCTCTGTGCCCAGAGAAACAGTGGGAGTGTCATGCCGCTGCCCACCTCAAGGAACAGGCCTTTCCCTTATCACCTTCCCATCCAGAGTCCAGTTTCATAATTACATTGTAAGGCTATGAAAGGGAGGTTCTGTTCCAGCCTTAGGGACTGGGTCCTCTCCACCTATGGGCCAGGCTCCTCTGCACTAGACAATCAAGGACAGAAAAACATAAGATTGATGCATGATGGAAAATCAGGTGTTAAATAGGCTGAAGGGAGAGGGAGGGGGAATGCTGCAGCACCAGTGACTGAGATTCGATAATAGGCTCTAGCCCAGCCCCCTCCAATCTATCCTTCATGCTTCCTTACCCCCAAACTGCCCTTTTGTTCAATCTTGGGAGGGATGATATTGGTTTGCCTATTTTCAGTTTCTTTTGGGTGCTTTTTAAACTTTTTAAATACCCTCAATCCCAGCACATATTTGCTCAGAGGGTGCCCCCTTGCCTTTCCTATGCCTCTTGTTCCCCCTCACCCCTATTCCATTTGTCACTGTCAACGAGAAGTAACTCCAGCCCCTATGCATTCAGTTATCCTATCAGGATAGACTGGATGCTTGGGGCAGGGGGTAAGGCTCTGGGGAGAACTTTTGTTCCTAAGAGTTGGCCAAGGAAGACTACATAACTCCTACCTTGTCTGTGTACTCTTAGGGAAAAATAAGGAAAAAAGAATCCCAATAGCTTGATTTTAGGCACATCCTAAATGAAGCCTGGGGTTGTTGAGGGCATTGCCTTGTCCATGAAAGAAACAGAGGTGCAGTGGGGTCTCCCATCTTCCATATGCAGCAGAGGACGCTGCTACTTTTCCTTTGTCATCCCCCTAGGCCTACCCTCACCACCTGTTTGTTTGTTTGAAGTGTCCAGATAGTGGTGTTTAGCTTCTTTTGAAGAATCATTTCCTTTTGAGCTTGCCCTTGTGAAATCTCATTGTTCTTATTGGTTCCTTTTAATGGTGTTTTCCGGAAGAAGGGTTTTGGGGATCCAGGGGATTTAGACTGACCATTGACTTTAAATTTTTTTGGTGGTTGGTGGGGGCGGTGATGATGATTTCATTTGGTGCTTTTGAGTTGTTACTCTTGAGATACTTGGGGGGTGGGGGGAGGCAAGAATTTTTATGGTTTTTTTTTTTTCATGCGATCAGTTGTGATAAAGGGTGACTGGAGCAGAGAAATAGGGTGAGGGGAGGGAAATTCTTCCCCTCACCCCTAAGCCACAAACTGATGTAGTGGGGACAGCTAAAGGATGCTCTAGGTCTGAACTCAGGGGCCTGGCTAATCCTTGCTGCTTCCAGTCCCCTTTTGTCAGGCAGGGGCTGTGGCTGACGGATAGGGGGTAGATGGTAGAAGGGTCTCTGCTCAACCTCACATCCTCTCCTTTCGAAGAGTATGCTGTTTCTATGATTACAGAGATGCTCTTAGTATTTAAAATGTTTTTCTGTGTATCTTTTTGTGCATATGTGTATGCACACTTTTTTTTTTTTTTAAGGAAGCCAAATAGGAACATCACTGAACCGAACATCCTCTCCTGGGTTTTAGAGACCCAGAGCTGATTCAGCATTGCCATTGTTGTCATTGCTTCCCTTAGGGCCTGGATCACAGCAGGCCCCAAACCTAGGGACATGTTTAGACCTGGTCTGAGGGAAGGGGTGTCATGTATGAAAATACTGTGTTTTGGGGGCGGAAGTGGGGAAGAGAAGTGAAATATTTCTTTTTAAGATTTTGTTTAACCAAAGAAAGTTAAGCAGGTCCTAGTCTAGCGTCCTGTTTCCAGATTCTCGAGGAGAACCTGTATATTAGGGATGGAGGCATATGGACTGTAGGGTAAGTGAGGAGATGAGACTCAGAAGCTATGCAGGCAACCCCGTCACTTCTCCCCATTGCTAACAAACGGGCTTCCTCCCTTTGGTGCTAAAAGCTGGTGCTTCCAGTCTCCACCTTGCGGTCCCTGAGATGGCCTGCCTCTCTGCAACCTAGAGGAGAAGGGAGGGCCCCTCTCGAGGACTGAGTCAGAGGCGGGTGCTTCCTTAAGGATGTGAGCGAACAGCTGGAGGGTGTACTGCTCAGCTGGGAGTAACCTGGCCAGCTGCAGCTATTCTGGGAAGGGAACTGGACTGCCGTTTGCCACGTGCCCCACCTGCTGGGGGGTGGTGGCATCGCACCCCAGCTACCAGACCTGCACTTAGCGAGGGCAGTAGTACCCCCTCAACCCCACCCCACCTCTCCATAGCTTTGAGCAATAAAAACAGGTGAATGGTTATCATCCCCTCCCCCCTGGTATTGATGGGCCTAGGAGTGGTGAAGTAGCCAGTCAGAAGCAGGGGGAGGGCTTAGATTCTTTGTGCCTTGACATCCCTTGATCCAGTCACTTCTCCCTCTTCCCCAGCTTTCCCACCTCCCCCTCTAGTTCTCTTTCAAGTTGTGGCTATCCTTGTCTGTTCCCCTGAAACATCCTCTACTCCCACCTCTTCCCTCTTAAGCCCTAGCAGGGGCTTTCCTCACCAGCCCTTGGGAGTACCATGTTAGCTCCATCCTTCTGCCTTTCCTCTGTGCTGCCCCTCTCCACCCCGACCGAGGGACTCCTACCTATGGCTAATGTACTGTCGGCAGGCCTCTTTGCTCTCCCAGCCTCCAAGCCTGTTCTGACCGCCTCCTCGCTTTCCACTACACATCCAGCAACGTTCTTTCTCGTTACACATCTACCTCACAAATCTCACAGTTCATTGTTCAGAACAAGGGCACAACCACCTGCTTAGGCCCCTACTCTATCCCTTCACCTGTTTCAGGTTTGGGAGCAAGGAGAATGGGCGATATGGGTAGGAAGGGTTTGTAACTAAAAAGCAAAATTTAGTTGCTGCTACTTTGCGTAGAATCTAACAGGGCCGAGTTTGTAGTGTTGGTGCCTACTCTCCAGTTAACCCTGAAGAAGTTGAGGCAGAGCTGATGGGTCTTAAAAAGACCATGAGATAACTCCCTCATGACCAGTGGTTTAACACTAACTGGTCCAGGCTCCATAAAGGGAGAAAGTTTAAGGGCTGCAGCAGTAGCTTTTCCCTCCCCCAGTTTGACAACCAACACAGGCACAGGGGCTTTGTCATCTCATTTTCCTTATTCCCCTGTTGGGCTTTAAAAACAGCCTTATTCCAGAGACCTCTTTTATTCACCTTGGGGCACTTACCTCTCCTATCTTCGAGCTGGACTGAGGGGAAGAGAAGTTGGTATCCAACTGTCTGAGTTGAGTTTAATCTGAGGTCCTGATGGAGATGCCAACAGGGGACCATCTTTATGCTAATCCCATCCACCCGACACCAATCCCCATCTCATATATACCCATTGTAGACCTGAAGTAAGTTTAATTTATACTTAGAAACATTTTGTACAGATTTTTTAAAGTTTTTTTCCTTTTGATTTTGTTTATTCAGAGTTTCTAGTTTTGTATTCTGCCTGCTTCTATGCTGAAAGCACTCCAGCTTAGTATCCCTCTGTTTATCTCCTAAATTTTCCAATGTACCTCTCCCCGACCCTGCAATCTTGTGGAGCTCCAATTGTCTCATTTCAAATTGTTTTTAAATAAAATGATAAAAAACAAGCCTCAGTGTCCTGATCAGGGGAGGTAGGTTGGTGGTAGGCTTTTTTTTTGCCAAAGAAAGACATCTTCAAAACAGGGCCATGGAAAGCCAGTGCCTGGACCAAATTAAATAGTTGGGTTTTAAAGATAACACCTACACAACTTTCCTAATGAGTTCACAAAGGGAAGGGAAACAGGTGGCCCATCATTCCCAAATGTCTTGAAAAAGACTTGAGGTTCCCCAATCACCCTCCCCTAGAACAGGGCTCAGAACAGATAGTACCACAGAATCTCTATCAAATGTGGTTTTTATTCAACTGACAAGCACTTTTTCTACAGCTGTACTTGTGGAACATCACATGGCAACAACAGGAGTTTTCTAGACTTTTTTTTTTTCTTTTTCAACCTTATTAAAAATGAGATTGGTCCTAAAAATATAGAAAGAAATAAATTTAAATTCACAAAAAAACTGTACATTATCAAAAAAGTCACTAAAACACCACATTTGGTTATATAAAAGTTAGTCCCTTTTTGCCACAAAAGGAACATAGGAACAACTTTTGTTGATGATGTGGTTTCTTCCTGTTAGACTGATGTGGTAGAAGATGGGATAGGATTTTTTTTTGAGGGTGGGGGATGAAACTTGATTTTTAATATGCATACCCCCAAATACTTGAAATTATTAAGAATGAAGGCAGAAGGAAAAGTGGGAAGTTGACCACTTTTACCTCCAACCAAATAGGCCCCCAAAATTTCAAGCCAGCCTACCACCTCAAGAGTGCCTGATCCTTGGGGATTTGGATGGAGGGAAAAGAACACTTAAGTGGAACACATGAGATTCCGGACCATCATTCTCTTCCCCCCCACCCCCCTCTCCCAATAAGTTCAAAATTAATTCAGGAGCTTTTATATCAGGAAAAACATTACCCTGTGAGGGGGATGAGGTGTGTGACTGAGGGCAGGGAAGAACCCTCATCTATAATTCCAAACATTTAACACAAAGTTTGTTACAGCGCAGTTTAGATAAAATATAAATATTTATGCATAATATAGTCAATTCAAATAGTCTTCAATTCACCTCTTATTTAAAATAAAAAAAAATCTCAAAATAATTTCTGAGGTTTATCTGACAGAAAAGGCGACTTGAGAAATGAGATGGAAAAGGAGAGAAGCAAAAGGACAGAGAGAATGTAGACCCATTCTCCCTTAATGTCCCTCAGTGGTTATTCAGTGCAGCTGGTGGAGCAAAACCAGAATTATGGCTCTACCTCAACTGGCTCCTCCCTACCAGTAGCAAAGTTCCTTGGGGGATATGGGTGTCTTGGCTCTCTGCTTAAGCCCAGGGCCTCCTCCCCAGTGCAAGTACCCGTAATCTCTGATGGGAGGAGCCAAGGTTGGGCAGGGGAGCAGAGGGCCAGGACCCCATGGTTATGGCTGGGGCAGATGGCAGCTTTCCTCTTATACAGCGGGGTCACATGTCAGGGACAGTGGCGTACACGCAACCTGCCTCTCAACCATCTTGCTTTCCTGGTAACCCACCCAGGGCTAAGGAGGGCAGGCCAGGAAGCAGTAACAGAACTAAAAGCTACAGAAAACTTTAGGTTCTTCCTGTGTACAGGGGCAAGAGACACAAAGTTAACAGGATCAGAGATCCTGGAAAAGGACTGCAGTTTGAAACCTATACAGATGCCCTGGGGTGAGAAGGAGGAATCACAGACATCAGAAGAGGGGCAGAGAAAAAATGCCCATTGGCTGAAACTGTTCCTTGTATATTTCCAAAGCAACGAAGAGGAATAGGGGTGAAGGAAGGAAAGGATAAAACACAAACAATGCAGCAACACACACAAGGAGGAGGGGAGGCCAGTCAATCCATCTTCTGGGCAGGAAGGAATGGGCCCAAAGTTATCCTGGCCAAACTCAGCAGTAATTGTCCCTGAGGAGCTCCCAAGAGGGAGGATTGGGTTTAGGGGAGGGGGGGGGGGAAAAACGGGGCTGATGGAGCCAGACACTTCCCCACCCTCCCCCCACAGAGAAGGCTGGAGATTTGGAGGTAAGGACAGAAAAGCATCCACTGCTATAGATGAGGCTGAGCTAAGAAGAAAAAAACCTCTGAAAGATCTTTTTTTGTTTTGTTTTGTTTTTTAAGGATTTGGGGAAAGGAAGGGGAGGAACCCGTACACGATAGTTTTATATTATTGGATGAGGGAAGGAAGGCAGAAATTGGAAGAAAAAGTGTTGGAGAAGTGGGCAAAGGACTGGGGGAAGGACTGGACGTGGAAGCAGCATGTCCAGGGCCCCGTATCCGGCTTGACGCACTTGGGAGTTAAGTCCACTTTACTGGCCGTTACTACGGGTCCTCACACAGTACAGAGTGTTTCTTGGTTTCACACATTCACTAGAACTATTGCTATCATTAAATAGCCCCAAAGCGCTGGGGCAGGAAAGGTGGGGAAGGGCAAGGGAGGGGTTTCTACCCTCCCTTTTTTAATTAGAAAATAAAACAGAAAGGAAGAAAATTCTCTTTCTCTTTTTGGCTTTCAGTCCAGGAAGACCCCCTTCCCTGCCCCCCTTTATCAGAGGGGAGAGGAAGAGGAAAAAGGGGGAAAGTTGGGGAGTGAGGGTACAGGAAGCTGCCCAAAGGTGGAGTCCAAGATCAGGGCATGTCTGATTCTTGAGTGTAGACCCCAGGCAGCATCAGCAGGCGAGAATGGCAGGGTTCGGAGGTGGGGATAATAGGATCAGTAGGCACGTAGCGTCCTGCCCCTGTCCCACCTCGCCTCACAGATTGGCCTGTTTTCCCTGATAAAACTCTTCCCATCGGCTCTCAAAGAAGCGGCGCATGACGTGCCCAGCCTTGCCCACCTCGGAATCATCCTCATTGAAGGTCTGGCAATTGTCAAAGACCAAAAGGGCATCAGCAGCAAACTCCTCAGAGTTAGAATACCTGAATGGGGATGAAGACAATGTCAGAGGGAACGGGACGGAATTGGAAAAAAGAAAAAGCAGTGGAAAAAACGAGGAAAGAGAAGATGGCCACTCACCCGCCCCGAAGGAGACGTTCCCTCATGGTGGAGAAGTCCATGGGGTTTTTGATGATGCGCCTGTAGCCACTAACGAGCCGAGGATTCACGGGTTCTAAGAAGGGCCATGCTGAATCATGAGATTCCATCTCCATCAAGATGATCCTACAGCCAGAGAGATACAGGCGCACTGGAGGATTGAGCCCAACAACCTAGACCTGGGGGGGGAGAACCTGTGGCCCTGAGGCCACAGGTTTCCCACCCCTGACTCAGACCCTCCAACAAGAGCAGGCCCCGAATGCCCCATCTTCACTTCCCTCTACTCTACCCCATCACGATCACCCAGGTTCACTTACTCGCAGAAAGTGAGGTCACTATGGTGGTGCCTCATGGAAAGGCGGCGGCGTTTGGAAGAAGACAGCCCTTCCCCAGAGTATCTGGACACAGCTGCCCCATCCTGGCTCCGGGACACAGCCCGAGGACGACGTCGTTGCCGGCTCTCGGGCTCGGAGAAACCCAGTGGTCCACCTTTCCGCTTCTGGCCCCGTTTTGGAAAGCCCGGCTTCTGAGGGAATTCTCCCTCTGCCTGCTGAGGGAAGGATCAAAAGTAGCAAGGGAAACACCATTCCTATTATTTATGGATTCTAGTCCCATCCTATCGTAAGTCATAATTCCTATACTGAGTTTTAACTTTTTAAAGCAGTTCAATTCAACATAATTTATTTACCTAACTAGCATTAATGAGTAAGGTAGGTAAAAAACCATTCACTGAAAATGAGGAAAATTAAGGTACAAAAGAAATTAAATGATTTTCATTTGCCTTAGGTCCCTATCAAGACCCAAATCCACCTGCTTTTTCCTTTGAAAATGCTGTACTTACAAGATGGAAGGTATGAGTGGCCGGGCTGGAGCATCCAAAGGGATCCCAGCACTCCCTTGTGGGGAATAGCAGATCCTTTAGGTTCTGAGACGGAGGTAGGGAAAGGACAAAGGGCCTCACCTGGGCCACACAGACAGCGCAAAACCAGTCCCCTTCAGGAACAGTGTCCATCTTGGGTCGGTGGCAATAAATGTGGCAGCCACGGTCACAGCCATCACAGAGCAGCAAGAACTCATCGTTATCACCCTTCCGGCACACCAGGCACGTCTGAGGAGGGTCACAGGGAGACGTGAGCCCCATGCCTTTGCCTGCTGCTGCTCCTTCTTACACCCGCCTCTCAGCCCCCAAACCTGCCCTGGGACCCCCAGGCCTCTCTCCGAGCCTCTCACCACTTTGTTGACAGACTTCTCCCAAGCAATGGATCTCTCCAGCTGGTCCAGGCAGAGACACACTTGGGCAGCACTCCGGCACCTCTCCAGAGTCTGCCGCCAAGTCCGGACCCGAGGAGTGATCTCATACGCTCTGGGGGGGGGAGTGGGAGAAATGGGGAAATGGCCTTTGGTGGGAGAGAGCTCCCCACTTGCCTCCTTCCCACAGAAAGGGGCAAGAGCCATTTGGTTTTTGTTAGATGAAGAGGGACAGGAAAAGGAAGTTTTTTCCCCTAGGAGAAGGAAAAATAGGTACTTGGGGGGGGGCAGCTCCCCAAATGTTTTTCCTTCAACATAACGGTGTTACTCACATCTCGGTGGTCCCCAGAGCAGTGGAGTCCGGAGGGCTCAGCAGTGCCTTCTCTAGCACAACTTCATGGGGTGGCCAAAGGGGCTCTCGAAGGTACCTTCGCTCCACGTTCTGCTCCAGCGCCGCGAGCCGAAGGACGGCCAGATCCAGGGGGTTGGTGTCCTCCCTCTGCGGTGCCAGTCCCTCCCGCCCTCTGCCTCGTGCAGTGATGTCCTCAAGGGGGTCAGGCAGATGCTCACAGTATGCCAGGTCCTCTCTGGCAGAGTCTGGGCTGGGACACGTCCAGCCCTGGGGGTGGAGAGAAAGCAGGTCAGAGGGAAGGGAGAGGGCAGGGACTCTCCTGGAAGAGATGGACCCTTCAGACCTTGACAGAGTCAGAATTAGGCCTTCAGATTTCATCTGATTTCATCTTCATAATTCCCTGAGGGGCGAGGGAAGGCTGAAGATTATTTTCCTCAATATTTAAGAGGGAAATCCCTGCTTGGCTTCTTCTCCCCCCCCCCCCCACAAAGATCCAAGGCTCCCCATTATACCCGGATCTGCAGATCGGCCAGTAGTACCCGCTGTTCCAGCTGCTCCACGCACTGCAGCATCGCCAGGTCTGCCTCATAGGTCCTCTCGGCTGGGGACCAGCACAGGAGCTCTTTCTGAGACACCAAGGGGAACCGGCTCGGCTTGAGAATGGAGTCTAAAAGGAGAGTGCAGGTCAACAACTGCATTTGGGTTTCCGTCCAGATGTCACTGGTCCTCTGGGGGGGGGGGCACCAGGGAAGCTCGGGGGCTTTGCAGACGCACTCACCTGTAGGTGGTCTCAGGCAGATCTCCCTCAGGAAGTCCCTGTGCTTGCTGAGGTGCTTGTGCAGAGCCTTCTCCCGGATGCCCCGGGGGTGGAGGGCCCGCAGGGTGGCCTCCAGCTCCTCCGGATCCCCGATCCACCACCAGCCCGTGCGCATTTCTGCAGGGAGAGCCAGGAGCATGAGGGCACTGGCTCACAGAGGACACACACCACCTCTGACCGGCTTCCTCATCAGGGTGCTCACCTGGAGGCACGGGCTGGGCTGTCAGCTGAGTCAGGTATCTTTGTTCCATCTGCTTGAAGAACTTGCTAGGGGGCCGACCCCTCCGTTTGGGCTGCCCGGGCCCTGTTGGGGTTTGGGGCCCTTTTCCTGCCCATCTCTTGGGAGCTGAGACAGAAAAAGGGGTGGAGGAGAGTGGCTTTGGGGAACAAGGTTTGGCAGCACTGGGTCCATTCACCTGTTAATGGAGAAATTTGGAAGGTCAGAGTACAAAGGAGAAGAACAAGGGAAAGAGAGAAGGGGAAGTAGGGAGGAAAATGGAGAGCAAGGGAGGGGAAGGCGAGAGGTCTAGTCCTAAGCTGAAACACCCACCTACCCACCTACTTGTGGATCCCCTCTCCCTCCCTCCAGCCTCTTGGGCGGGGTGGGGGGTGAGGCTAAGCTATGGTTCTTACTGGCTGAGCGGAAGCAGGTGGTGTTGGTGGATCAGGGGTGGGATCGTCCTCTGAGGCACAAGGGGATGTCGAGGGAGCAGCATCACAGGGTGTCCGAGGCAGCAGGTTGAACCAAGGGCCCCGGGGGTTGGGGGGATCAGGCTGGCTGGGCTCAGGCTCCTCAGGATACATTGGGGGTCCAGGCTCTAGCTTGCCAGGGCTGCTGTCAGGTGTGAGGACAGAGCTGCTCAGCAAGGATCGATGGCTCTGGGTTTGACTCAGCCAGGAGAGGAAGGCTGACTGGCTGAGGTCATGCTGGCTCTGGCCCAAGGACACAGGGGAGTCCTCTGGCTCCAGAAGCCCGTTGAGGGCCTGCTCCTGGACCTGGGCTTGGGCCTGGGTTTGCTCCTGGGCTTGGGCAAATTCGTGCTCCTCCTTTGCCACAGGGGATATGGGAATCTCAGGCTGCTCAGGGACAGGCTTGGTCTTTCTGGGCCTACCCCTGGCCCGACCACAAGGTGACCAAGTCTTGCCATTTCCTTCAGCCAATTCCCTCTTCACTGCTGAGAAAGGAGGCGTGGAGGGGGCTGGAGCGGCTGCTTCCTTTGGGGTCTCAGCTTCCCGTTTTATCACATCCTCCAAGGCTATAGAGAGAAATGAGAGGTTCAAAATACAAAATTAACATCTCCCTCCACTTCTGCCTCGGGTTCTAGACCGTTCTCCCCATTCTTCCAAAGTTTTCTATGACAGTTACAGTAGTTTAGAGAGAACACTTGAGTGTACCCCACATACACACCCCCTTTAAAATGGGAGAGGATGTTCAAAGCCCAGACCCCCAGACACCAATTATGGGAAAGACGGAAGCACCAACCTGTGGCTTCCTCAGCCCCTTCCACAAAGACCCCAGACAAGTACGGCAGCACCCAGTATCGCCGCCTATATCGATCCTGGCCTAGAGAAACTGCCCTCAGCATCTGGGATGAGTGGAGTAACTTCTTGCGGAAAAACAGCTGGCGCTGGAGAAAGATGAAGCCAAAGCTCTAGCCAGCTGTGCACAGGGCTGCCTCAACGCTGCCACAAAGTAGGCCTCAATAGTTGTACCCATCTGGGAATTTGGGGTAAAGGATGCCATTACCTTGGTGAGTTTTTCTATCTGTCGCTCTAGCTCAGGAATACTGAATGCCTGGGCATCACCCTAGAGAGAGCAGGGCAGAGATGAAGATGCTGGTTAAGAGTGAGTTGAGAAGTGAGGAGCTTACAGAACAGTCTCTATTACACCAAGAAAGGTAAACATCCCTCAGCCCACCCCCCATTCCAGAACGGCACCTCCTCATCTCGGCGGCCCCGCCGACCCTGCGAGGCTAATGCTGCTGCCGCCTCTTCTTCTTCCTCTTCTTCCATGCCACTCGTCTCCTCTGGGATCCGGGAGCTTCGCCTCCGGCCTAAGCTCTCCTCTGAGCCCAGCAGTTCTGCCTCGGACCGCCCAGTTCGCTTAGCCAGAGCCACTTTCAGCCTGGGAGTGGGAGTTGGGGTGCAGAAAGGAGAAGGGAAAGAGTAATAAAGAAAACTGACCCTAGCAGCATGAGCAGCCCTCTTTACCTCCTCCCCAACCCAACTGAGCCCCATGGTGGAGAGCACCAGGGCTCCCGGAAGCCAGAGGACCCTCCCCGAGGCCCATCACCTGCTCTACCCCTACCTCCGAAGCCGACCTTCAACAATCCATTTGTTCCTCCTGTAGCTGGACATGTTCTCAAGGGTCTTATCAATCTCACTGTATGGGAACAGAGATGAGGTCTGAGGAAGGGCTCGTGGCTGGGAAGGGGCCCCCCATTCAGACAAACTGAATCCTGCTATCCACATAAGACATAGACTGGGAAACAGAAACTGTGGAGGTGTTTCCTCTTGGGGAGGATGTGGAGATCTCATTTCACTAAGCTGGCCCTAGAGCCCCTCCAAGCCCTTAGGCTCTAAGCCCCTGGTAGGCTCATCCTCCCATCTGTTCATCTGTGCTGACTTGGCCTATGGCTTCCACCTCCTGAAAGCAAGGTCAAAACCATGACTCCTTACTTGATGATGAGGTTGGAGCCATTGAGCTCATGTACAAGGAAAGCCAGCACTGCAGCCTTTTGTTGGGGTGTCTGTGCCTGGAAAGGTTTGGTGCGAAGGCTGTCGCACACTGCTGGTTCTGCCCCATAGGCCATGAGGAAACAACGGAGGATCTCTGACACGTTGTCCCTTGTCAGTGGGATCTCGGATACTTTTTCTCCCAGGATCTTCAGTGACTGGAGAAAAGGAAATGGAATGAGGAGAAATGTGAAAAGGAAGGGAGAAGCCAGCCAGCCCGGCTCTCAATCCTCCCATCCTGACATGAAAGGCCCTCACCTGGCAGTAGGCAGGTAGGCCAGGGTCACAGAGAGCAGCCCGAAGCAGCCTCACCAGTAGGTCCTGCACCTCGCCCAAGGCCTCGCCTTGGCACAGCAGCCCCTCCTGCAGAGCCCCCAGGCTGGGCACATCCTTGGCTGGATCCAAGCCCAGCACTTTGCCAAAGCTGTGCAGGAACTCCACAACAGTCAGGCAGTGTGAGAAAGCACTGCTGGGTAACACCAGACCAGGAATTCTTGAGAAGTCAGGCAGGGGCTGTGGAAGTGAGAAGGAAAGCAAAGGGCACAGGCCCCTGTCAAAGAGACCAGGAAGATAAGAGCCAGGAAAAGGAGATTCCTTCCAATTGTCCTTCACCAAAAACATCGCCACATCCACTTTTAGACATGTCCAAAACAAAACATATGTTTTGTTGGACTATCTTTCCTCATTATAAGGAAAGGCTGTTTTTGTGGGGTGGGGAAACAGAGGAGTTGTAAAGCGGTGATAGTGAGAGGGAAAAAAAGAGCATCAATGACACATTCGACAGAAATACACAGGAGAGGACAAGTTCAGAAGGGGACATAAAGCAAGATAACGTTGGCACTACTATGTTAAGTTAGATAGAGATAGCTAGAAGAGCTTCACTTTTTCCACAGAGAAGCCTACTTTTCTGGACCTCTTTATATATGTATATAATCATGTTTGTTAATGATTTTCAAGCTATGCATGCACAAGCATGCGCGCAAAAACACACTTTTTAATATCTCTGTAAGGAATTGTGGCAAGATGGATGAGTTAGTGGTATTGCATGCTGGCCTAACTGTTCTGGAAATTAATCTGGAATTATGCCAAAAACCTGACTAAAATGTCCACAACCCTTCACCCAGAAACTCCAGTACTAGTCACATACCCCCAAGGAGGTCAAAGACAAAAAGAAAGGCCACATATGACACTAAATTATCTATAGTAGCACTTTTGGTGGTAGCAAAGAACCAGAAACAAAGTAAACAAGCACTGATTGGGCAACGGCTAAACAAACACGAACACAATGAAATACGACCGTACTATAAGAAATGAAGAATATGACGAAAACAGATGCACAGGGAGACCCATCTATATGAACGGATACAAAGACAAGCAACCAGGGCCAAAAACCCAACACACACAGTGACCACAACAATGTAAACAAGCAACAAAGACCACTGAAACAGAATACTTTGAAATGATGAAAACCAAGCTTAGTCCCAAAGAAGAGACATGAGAAGGAACATACTGAGAAATGCAAGTTGTGTAAACACAAAAGATATCAGTAAAAACTTAAAAAAACCCCAAAACCCTAGCGTCTCCATGGCCATTGCTTCCCCTGCCTGGACCCCACCTCCTAAGTCACCTGGTGGTCAGCCAAGCACATGTCCTCCGTGGGCCTCTTCATCTCCTCCAGGATCATCTGCTGTCGCTGTCGCTCCTCCAGGCGCCGCTGGGGGGCTGACACCCGTTCAGCTTTACAGGCCAGTTTGGCCTCCTCCTTCTCCTTTGGTCTGACCTTCTCTTTCCTGACTTTCTCTTTCAGTTTATCTGCCTTTGCTCTTACCTTTTCCTTCTCAGCCTATTTATCCAGAGAAAAAAAGAAAGATACACACAGATGATGTTGGCCCAGCTTGGCTATCCCCAGACACACACGGCCGGTGTGCCTAGAAAACAATGAGACTCAGCTGCCTGTGATTTACAGTCTGAGCGCCTCTTCTGTGCCAAGGGCTAGAGATGCCGAGAAAGGTGAAAGGTGGTCCCTGCCCTCAGGGAGCTCATAGTCTAACAGGGGAGACAACATGCAAACAACTGTACAAACAAGGTTATGCATGCATATTATGAAAGTGTGTGCATATGCCTCACGTATATCATATACACACACATATATAGATAGATGAGAAATTACAGATCTTCAGCAGAGGAAGTTCTACATTAGCAATAAGGAAGATTGGGACAATCTTCCTACAGAAGGTGGGACGTCAGCTGAGACTTGTAGAAGGCAGAGAGGAGGAGGAGGACATTCTAAGTGTGGGGGAGAGGGGAAACCCTCAGTCAGGAGACGGGAATTTCTTGCATGAAGAAAGCAAGGTCAACGTCACTGGACTGTGGAGTGTATGAGGGATGTAGGGTATAAAGAAGCCTGGGAAGGTAGGAAGGGGCCAGGTGTTGAAGTTCTTCCAAAGTCAAACAGAAAATTTTATATTTGACCATGGAAATGACAGGGAGCCAGTGGAGCTGAGTGAATAGGGGGTCACATGGTCAGACCTGCACCTTAGGAAGATTCCTGTGGCAGCTGAGTAAAGGATGGACTGGAATAGAGAGAGACCCTTACTCAACAAGCTAGTGAAGCAGGGTTGGGGTGGCGTCAGCAGCAAGAAGGGGGCATGGCAATCAGGGCCTGGCCCATGGATGAGGGAAGGAGACTGAGAAGGGGACTGAGTGGTGAGGCTGGGTGGCTCAGAGGGCTACGTGACAGAGAAGGCCTTCCTCACTCACATCAACCTCTGGCCCCGTCTCCTCCCTGTGTACACAGACTCACACTTACCTTGGACTTCTTCTTAATTTCCTTCTGCCTGGAGCATTTGGCTTCTTGTTTCCGTTGGTTTTTGGCCTGCAAACCACAAAGAAGTGAATCCCTTGTAAAACCCCTGCTATCTCTGCCTGAACTACAGACTGCAAACACACATGCAGCAATGGGGTAAATGACAGGGGACCAAACTCCCCCGCCTAGAAATCACTACTCACATCACACGGCCCCTCCCCAGCATGGGACTTGGACAATCAAGCTGCACTAGCTTTGCTTTAACTAATTATCAACATAAAGAGGACTGGAGAGGAGATCCCTGAAGAACTCTTGGTGTAACATCCTTGAGTTTTACGGATGACAGAATGAGGAAAGGGGTTTGTTTATTACTCATCCTTGATACTGGTGGGTGCTAGCGGGTGCGGGGCAGGGAGGAAGGATGAGGCATGTCTAAAAGATGGTTGACTTTCACCCTTCTCTCCCCTGAAATATACCTTCCTTCTTATCTTCTTCTTGATCTTACTCATCTTGACCTTTTCTCCATCACTTGGGGCATCTGTGCAAACAGAGCAAGAAAAGAAGATGAGGTGGGGAGAACTGGTCCTCTAGAATCAATGATCTATCCCTGGACATGAGTTTTTCCACAACCCAAATGGCCCCCAGAGTTCTCAAAAGAAGCCATAGTGGCTTAGGTCACAAAATGCAGAAGAGGAGACCAATCTGAGTAGTTCAGCTTCAGAAGCAAGTGGAGCCACCTTTGTAACTAATCAGCTTGGTGTTAAGAGATGGCATTTTATTAGGAAAAAGGGGGAAGATGGGGAGAGGGAACAAGCATTTACATACACCTACTAGGGAGAAAGGTACTATGCTATGCACCTTATCACAACAACCCTGAGAGGCAGGTGTTGTTATTATCCCCCTTTTACAGATGAGGCAAACAGAGGCAAAGTAACTTGCACAGGTTCACACAACCATGGGTCTTCCTGACTCTAGGTCCAGCAATCTATCTACCTAGCAAGATGGGCTCTTAAAGTAGGGCAACCTGTGGGAGAAAAAGGGCAGCAGAAAGACAAGACAAGGAAAGCATTTCCCTCTGCTCTCTTTGGGGCAAACATCAAAGATTTAGGTGACCCTGATATGCCCCAAGTCCTAACTTAAGTCATGCTACATCCTTTATCCAAAGCAGACAATTTCAGATTCTTTGGCTGGGCTTCAGATGAATTTTTCTCCATTGATAGTCCTAAACATCCCCCTAAAAATGAGACAGTTTTCTAAAATAGTAATTCTTCTAGACAGCATATGCAGCCTCTTAGAAGATATGCTTTTCATATAAAGTTTTCTCTCAGGCACAAATTAAAAAAATTTATATAAGACATTTAATAAAAATCCAGTTATCACCTCCTAAGTCTCATTAAAAAACTCATCTATTTCAAGAGTTTTGATGAGTTTTCTTTGGGAAGGCCAGTATGCATGAGAGGGGTCAAGTTAGCAGCCCAGGAAAATGCCAATAGTAATGGATTTTGAGGACAGGTGAGGCAGGGAAGTAGGTACCTTTTTAGGAACAGCCAAAAGCAACAACTTAAGATAAAGGAAGAAAACTGGCTAGGCTAAGGGACTTTACAGCCACATCACAAGGAGGGAGAGAAGGTAGAGACATCTGTCCCACAAGCACCTTGGAAACCCCAGACACTAAGCAGTAACTCAGGAGTGCTCACAAAGGGGTCTGGCCCCAGTGAAAGGGGGAGTGGGGGTGGGGGTGGGTGACTACCCTTACCTGTAACTTCAAGCCTCTTCAGGAGTCTGGTATCTGTCTTGCTCAAAACCTCAGTGATTTTGACTTTGGGGGGCCGCCCACGTCCTCGTTTTACTTTGGGCATTTCCTTGGCTTTGGCCTTCTCAGTGTTGCGGGGACGACCTCGCTTGCCAGTGATGGCCTGGATGCGGGAAGGTATCTCCTCTACTGAGAGCTGTACCCATTTCAAGCCCTGGAGTAGGAAGAACAGCTGGACTGAAGTCATGATGGGGAGGATGGGAAAGGAGCAGGCATGACCTTCATGCTGGTGATGTGGCTCTTTGATCTTGCCACCCCAAGGCCACAGACCCTCCAAGCCTGGTTGAACAAGGCTGTGGACCAGCTTAAGGACACAAAGAACTGTACCTCAGGGGTATCCCGTTCTTCATAGAAATCTCCAACAGGCATCCTAGGGCTGAAACTGAAATGTTCCCGGCGAACGTGGTGGACGACATTTCGGCTCAGGTACTGCGAAGAGAATGAGACATTTCTGAAGATTATCAGGCCTCCTCTGGTCCCCAGTGACTGACTTTCTACCACATTCCCTCGGGCACAGTAAAGGTGTGAGTATGTGTGTGTGTGTGTAGGTGAACTTCTACCTGCCCCGAAGAGAATCAGTGACTGCTGTATTATTACCTTAATCACTTCTGGAAATTGTTTCATCCTCTTTCCACAGGGGCCATAATACCACGTCTCCCCCTGCCACCGGTGGCTGCCCTTCTTTATTCGCACCTCTCTCCGCCATCTGTCATGGAAGCACATGGCCCCTACCACCACGTCACCCACCCTCCTGCACCCCCCCCCCCCCCCCAGCACTGAGCAGTAAGCCCTTTGTAACCCTTTGTCTAACGGCAGTGGGGGGCAGAGCCCAAGATACCAGCTAGTTTAACCCATTCATTTTACAGATGAGGAAACCGAGGCTCAGAAAAGTTCAGTGACTGACTTCAAGTCACACTAGTGTCACCATCCCACTACAGTAGTGTCTAGATGCTAAAGGGTCATAGAAAGGAGCTTCAAGGACATGCTGCCATCAGCTCAAAAAGAGGCTAAGCCAAGAGGGACTTTACTTCTCCTCTTCCAGGTCAGCCAGCTGAGACTCAGGCCCTATAAATCCCCTTCCTGGAGTCTTACAGGTCAGAGCTATTGGGATTTAGAAAGAAAACTGGAGGCATGATAAAAAAAAGGAGAAAGGGAAAAGGGCATTGACGTAGTCAGGCAGGAGAGAAAGCTCACTGCTGCCTTGAGGCAATGACTCAGGGGACAGGGCTTGGTTATGCACTCTGCATTCGGAGAAGCATCACTGCTAGCAGCCAGCTGAGCCTTATCTTCCAAACAAACTTCCAATCACAGCACAGGACTGGTGACCCCATGGAGCCGAGAGGAGCAGAGGGAGCAGGGGGAGCATGGGGAGCATGGGGAGCAGCCAGCTCACTCCCTTTAGTCTCCTGTTCCTTCCCCTACTCCTCCACAGAACTCTAACCAGCCACCAAAATCCACATCTGCTGCCACTCCACCCTCAAAGCTGCCTCAGCCCAGCCTAGCTGGATGACTCAGAGATCTGGGGCCACCTTCCGGGCCTGAGGGAGGAGCCAACTGAGCCCCTTGGGCAGAGTTAGCTGTGGGGGTGGAGGACAGGCTACCACGTGGTAAGGAAGAAGGAGGGGCAGGGAAAGGCACAGGAAACCTAGTCTCTCATGGCAGAAAATAAAATGTTGTAGACATCTGCCTTGACCCCACCCCAATCTATTTGGCCTGGAGTATCCAGGTTTAGAAACTGCCCCCTTCTCTTGAGTTGTTCAAAATTAAAGACTTGACCACCTACCCATGCTGAAGGGGAAATCGAACCTCTTCTGGGGTGGCAATCCGTCTCCGAAGGACATCTCCTGAGGGGAAAAGTGGGCATACCAGTGGGAAAACTGGTAAGACAAGTGTATGGAAAAAACACAGAACTCAAATGTTAGGAATGCTGGGTTTAAGCCCTAGCTTTTTGCTACTTCTTCTGTGACCTCAGGTAAGTCATCTCCTCCCTCTAAGACTCATTTTCCTCATCGTAAAATTGACAATCTTAGCCCAGAAGAAGGGATGAAGCTGGGGACCAGGCTGTTCAAGCTGTCAGATGTGTAAGCTGTATCAGCTGGTTTTGTTACCTGTTTTTCTTTGTTACAAGGAAAGACTCACCTGGGGCAGAAAGGGATGACTGTGATATAAAAAATAAAAGCAATCAACCCTCTTCTTTTGTTAAGGATGGTTTCTGAAGTGCCCTCAATCTCATCCAAAGCATGAATGGAAGGCGGGCTAGGCACAGCCAGCTAACCTTGCTGGATAGAAAGGACTGTTACCTGTGATGAGAATGGTCAGAGCCACAGACAGAATGGGATGGTGAGCTCTGAGGCACTTACCATTGCCAGAAGCACCACCTCCCCCCTCAGCCTTGTCTTCAAGGTCAGGGGTGCACCCAGGACCGCTGCTCCTGTCCGTGTCTGTGTCCTCAGGGGACAGCTGAGCTGGGGCTGACTGTGCAAGGCCCGGGGACACAGCTGCCATGCCCGTCTCCACTTCTTCCTGTTCTGGATCACTCCCATTATTCAGCTCGAAACTGCCATCTAGAACCAGAAAGGCCAAAGACTCGACTAAAAAGGGAGGAATGACATCTATCCCCCACCTCCTCATCTCTATGGTTACTTCCTCTTTCATTTCTGGGGATGAAGGGGTATGGCTCCTAGAGGGCCACTGCCTAGCTCGGTGCCTGGTCCATAATAAACACTTAATAAACAGCTTGTTGATTTGACTTTCAGAAGTATTTAACCTGGAGCCATCAGGGTCCTTGGAATCCCTTTCCCCCTTTTGAACCTCATAGCTTCACATTGCTAAATTCTGAACAACGGAGGGATGATTAAAGAGCCAGCTTCCACAACTGCCTCCATGCCCTGTTTCTAACTTCCAACAAGCAAGCTTATCAAAACCTCAATATTTTCCCACAGCCTTTATCAGTCCTTGTATCATCATCCTCCCTTTATTCTCTCTTTACCCTCCCAGCCAATAATCTCCCAGACACACACCTTGTAAAACAGACTCCCCTAGCACAGGAGGTGAGGTGGGGTTGGCAAAGATTGAGGTTGAAGTCTGGCTGTCGTCCGCCAGGAGACTGAAGGCGGTGGAATTGTTGAGGGAAGGGCACTCGAGGGCTGAGATGTCAGGGCTATCTCCGAGGGGCAGCTTGTCCTCTTCACCCACCAGCTCCGAGTCATCCATCCCATAGAGCCCACCACTCCCTGGCTCTGTTCATAGAGGAGAAGAACGAGATATTTAAGCACAACTCTTAGGGCCTGGGATTGCTCTTTCCATCCCAACTGCCAAGGCTGTGAAGATTCTGAGATCAAATGAAAGGACATGTCTAACTGGTTGTTCAGGAGCATGTGCAGAGGAAGCCAGGGAGCCAGCAGCTTTTCATCAACCCAAAGAGCCGTACTTAACTGCTATCTACTCCAACAAGCTGTTCTCACACATCAAGGGGAAGGGACAGGAGACAGTGGTCCAGACAAAGTCTGAATGGGCCTGGACTCCTTGGAGAAAGAACTGTTTCCTCGAAGTTTAGAACATTCCCCTTTTATTAAGTACAAGAACTCAGCTACTTTCTTACAGTTTCCAGCAAGATTAAAAGGTCCCTGTCCAACAGACTGTTTCATCTCGGTACCCTCAGCCAAGAAGGGCAGACAGACCCTTGGGAAATAACCAAAGTCAGCTCCAGCTTGGTCTACCCAAGTATTTCTATTTGTCATTTTTAGACTGCTGTATCATTTAGCAATATTCATGAGATTGGGAGCCTCAAAGTTCCTTGTGCTTCCCCCAGATTGTCAGGGCTCCCCAAGTAGCAGGTGGGTGGCTGTAAAGTGCCTCAAGCCTCCAAGCCCACCTGGAGCCAGTGAGTCAAAGGGCTCCAATGGATCTTCATCAAGGATAGGCGAGTCTCCCAGCTGTTCCGGAAGCTGTGAGGGGTCATCCAGGCAGCTCACTGTAGGGTCAGGGACCAGGACTGAGACCTCTTGGTGCAGTGATTCCACGGAAGGGGCTGAGCTGGTATAGCCACAGATCTTCAATTCTAGGAGAGTCCAGGAGAAGGTAAAGAAACCCAGATCAGAACCTTGGATGAGCTCACTCAACCTGGAGCAGGCAGAACAGCTTTAGCAAAAGGTCACTAACTCTGGGCAAGCAGAGATGCCCGACAGCAGCTTCACCTAGGGCAGGGCAGAATGAGGTCATAGACAGACCTCAATCTCATGTTCTTAGAAGAGTTTTTCATCTAGAGGGAACAAGAGACAGAGAAAGCAACGACTTGGTTCTGAAGAGAATCACTTTGGCACTTAGCAGCTGGGAAGAGACAAGGGTAAGCCAGGTTGTTATTATGGTGAGAGTGGGGGGGACATGGCAGGAAGGACGGGTTACCTCATATGTACACATATACCCAGTGAAAAACGACAGATGGGATGGAGAAAAGCAAACAAGCAAGACACTGAGCTCTGGGCTGCTCCTTTCTCTCCCCTGAATGCCAGCTGATCACAGAGGCTTGGCAGAAACTGGGAAGGCAAGCTGACCACCTCCTTCAGGAGGACTGCCTGGCTGGCCCTGTGACCTGTGTTCCTGGGATGCTGTTTCACCCTCTTCAGTGCCACATGCCAAACCCCCTCCATGGCTTTCTGATGAAGGCACTTGCAAGGATTCTTGGGGTGGGAGGGGTGGGAGAAGGGAGTGGTGGTTCCTGGCTTGCCCACCTGCCCTGCCCAGGCTGCCGGCTCCTCGTGAGCTTGAAATAATTCGACCTCCTACTCTTGAGCAGCCGCTACTGCCACAAGAACACCAGCCGCCTGGCTCTGCTGATCACCAACATGCAAATCAGCCTCCACTGCAGAGCGGGAAAGACGGGTTCTTCTTGCCTCAGGAACAGGCCACAGCCCCAAAGCCCTGCTTCTCTCCCTCCCCTCCCGGGCCCTCCCAGCCCATCCCCGTACCTGGCTGTTCTCCTTCCAGCTCCAGGCTACCCACCAAACCAGTGCCATTCTCTGCCACAATGGGGGCTAGCTCCTTATCGGCTGCCTCACCAGGATGTTCACCGTGTTCAGGATCCTGGGAAGGTGCAAAAGTCTGGACACTGGAGCCCAGCATGGGAGAGGGTGGCGAGGAGGTGAAGAAGCCAGGGGGTCCATTGGATATCACCTCAAAATTCTGATCGGGGAAAGAGTCATATAGTTCTTGTGAGTCAAAATTGAGTCCCATGGGACTCTGGGTGCCATTGGCCCAGAACTCTTGGTTACCAGCCCGCAGGTTAGTGTTTTGACTTGGGGGTGAGCCCTGCCGGCTGCCCCCAATGGTGCCGTTGAGTGGAGGATATTGTCTGTGGCCTGAGAACTGGGAGAGAAGGGGTGGATCTTTAAGGTTGCTGCCAGTACTGGCAGGTGGATATTGCGGATAGTTCCAGAGACAGTCATAGGCCACGCTGGGGTGATGGAGGTGGGAAGTGCCAGAGGAGTGGGGAGCAGAGTTCAAAATCCCTGAAGTAGTGTGAGATACAGTAGATAAGCCATTAACATTCACATCACCATTCAAACCTGTGAGAGGGAGGGAAAAGAAAGGCATCAGTTATCTCTCACCAAGATGTGCCTCCAAGTGCCTGCCAAAAGAGCCCCACACCGAGAGCACTGCCTAAGGGGAGGGGAGACAGGAAGGGGGGATTTCCCCTCTGCTATATTTGGCCTCCTGTCTCCAGGGAACGCCATACCCAGATACTCCTGGCTGTAAGCATAGCAACTACTGCTGAGGGTGCTGTGTTCGGGAAGCACTGGGAAGTGGGGGGCTGGGGAGCTCTCAGCTTCCCATGGGAACTACCAGAAGGAAGGTGGCTGCTCCGCATGTTCAGCACTCTATTTTTTAATATAAAGCTACAAGATTCCCCACAGTGACCTCTATTTCTCCTCACCCCCAGAAGAACCCAGCAGTCACCAAAGGGCCATGTTGAGTTCGCTGCAAGCCCTCAGAATCACTGCTGAGCTCACTCTTCTCCTCCCTAGGCTGGACTGTTCATCCCTCCCCCTCCTGCCTGGCAGGAGCAGCCAAGCCGTCAGTAGGGACAGGCTCCACCTCAGCAGCACATGCAGATCCAAGCTAAGAATAGCTTTTTCAGTCACCCCAGCGACAAGATCCCAGCTCAGAGGGCTGGGCTTAGCCCCTCCTCACAGCCACTGGAAGGGAATGAATGTGCAGGGGAAGAGGGGGGAATCTTCGTGACCAGTGATGTAGACTCCAGCTCTCACTGCCAACAGGCAGGAAAGCTGGCAGCCCAGGAGCTGGAGGGGAGGCAGAGAAGAGGCACCAAGACAGGCAGGTGAGAGGCCCTTCAACAATGGACCCTGCAGGAAATTCTGCTCAAAGACCCCTCCACAGAGGGGAGGATGAGAAGATGGGCACTAGGATCTCTGTCCTTCCACGAGAGGCACAAGGGCTTCTCTCTGCCTCCAGTCCAATTCCCTTGGATCCAAGGAGGATTACAGGCACTTGGCAGGGTTGTGGTGCAGAGCAGCTGATCAGCCAAATCCAGGCAAAGACCTGATCCTAGCAGCAAGACTTCCATTCAGAAGTATACACCCTTAATGAGGCACCAGCTGAATACTGAAACCCTCCCAGGGTTTGGGATGGACACAGGAGCTCAAAGCTTCTACTTTTTCTCCATGCATCTGTGTGGGTCAGGTAAACTGGGGAGAATCGAGAAACTCATCTCTCCTATCCCAACTGCCATTCAAAAACAAAAACCAAAAACCAAAAAAAAAAACAAAAACCCACCCAGTAGGCAGAGCTTGTCTCTATATCCCCCACCCCCCAACTAGCTATCATTCAATGGATTTAGAGCTGGAAGAGACCTTAGAGGTCATAAATTCCAACCCCTTCAGCACCGAGGGGAGGAAACTGAGATACAAAGACCGAAACGACTTGTCCAGAACCACTGTGAAGAGCCCCAGGACAGGCACTATTCTGCAAAGGGACAGAGCCACCACAAGAACAGCTTGAGATGGAAAAGCCAGGAAGCCTTCCTCAGCTTCCTTCCCACCGAACAAATCAGACAAATCAGAGGCCTGACATTATTGCCTCAAACACAAAGCCACCTGGAGCACTGATGGGACCCTACTGCTTCCCGCTGCCCTCCTCCTTTCGAGCAGCTAGCACTCTACTGGTGGACCCCTTTCCCTTTGGCAGGAGCAGGCTCAGGAACCCACACTAGTATCAAAGAGGAACCAAATCTCCCATAATTTGCTCTGAAGGAATGAAGCCCCTCCCCTGCCCAGGCAATCTCACCCTCACACTCACTTTTCCCTTGCTGAGAGAAGTTCATGGGAGACCCGTTAGTGTAGAGGCCCTCCCCGGAGGGGGAGGGTTTCAGTCCTGAGGCAGCAGGTGCAGGGGGAAGGCCAGTAAAGTTAAAATGGTCATTTGCCTCCATTTCTGTAGGAGGGGAAAGAAAAAAAAATACTGGAGGTTAAACAAAGTCATGTCACCTGGAATCTACCACCTACGTACTTCCTGGGGAGAAAACCTCCCTCCATCTACAGTGTACTCACTTGCCTCCCACTTCAGCACTGCCAGAGAAGGAAGGAGTAACAATGTTGCCCCCTCCCCCCATCACCACCACCAGTGCAAACCCCTGTTAGAAACAATCTCCAAAAGCCAATTCTACTTAGGGATGGAACATGAAAAGCTGGCAAGAGAAGCCATGATGCCAGAGTAGGAGAAGACCCTTTCATTAGCTCCAAGCCCAGCTCACACTCCTCATCTCAAAGATCTGCTTTATCCACAATATTTTGGTCCATCCCACTTCCCTTTACAGTTCAAGGGTAAAGACCAGAGCCATAGACACAATCTGGGAAGATGATGGCAAAGCACCTCTTTTTCGGGGGGGAGGTGAACAGGGCCGGGGTCTATTGGAGTGTCAAAGAAGATTAGATAATCTGACAAATGACCATGCTGTATGTTAGAATACCAACTTCAGCTAAAACAGAGCTTTCTTGGTTATCTTGTCCACAATCCTAGGAAAGATACTACCAAACTGTTAGGTCAGAAACCTGAAAAGGGAACAACCAATTTGCCAGTATTTTAGAAGATGTGAATTGGGCGGGAAAAGTCTATCCTAGAGCAATGAGAATTTTTATACCTGGAAGAAACCTTAGATATTATCTAGTCTAAGCCTCTCGTTTACCTAAGGCTCATAGAGGTCTAGACTTTGAAATGACTACGTGGACTCAAACGCAGATCTTTTAACTTCTTAGATCAGTGCTGTTTCCCTAATACTCCCTTCTCATGTGAAGATTCCCTACCCCAGAAAATGGGGTAGGAGATGAAAATGGTCTGCTCTTCAAGACCGTGGAGAAGTGTCGGGGGGGGGGGGGGGGGGGGGGGGGGAGAACACCATTCTAATATGCCTACAGTATACAGTAGCTTTGGTGGCACAGAAAAGGTTTTTTTTTTTATTAATTTATTTTTAGCTTTCAATATTCACTTCCACAACATTTTGAGTTCCAAATTTTCTCCCCATCTCTCCCCTCCTCCCACTCCAAGGTGGCATGAATTCTGATTACCCCTTCCCCCAATCTGCCCTCCCTTCTATCGCTCCCCACCCCCTTCTCTTATCCCTTTTCCCTTCTATTTTCCTGTTGGGCAGGATGAAAAGGGGTTATATCTTATAAACTGTTTAAGTGCTATAGGTATGTTTGTGGTGGGGAAAGAGGTCTTTTTATCCCATCATTCACCATAACATTATCTTTTTCTTAAAGACAATGAGGCAGAGAACATGGGAAAGTGAGGATTCTGAAAATGTTATTTTAATACTTCAACGATCTGTTATTTCACCTTTGTACATTTGCCCTCCACAGATACAGGCTGAAAAGCCCTTGTATCCCATAGCATTCATGAGTTTCTGGGCCTGATAACGCACTTCCCAAGTCTGCCTCCAACTCATACACATGCTCACTAACACACTGGGCCCCAGCTTGCAGTCTGGCAGGTAGTGCCACAGCTTTCACTCCACTAGTAAAGTCTTTGGGAACCCAGGATCACCTCCTCCAATTGGTCAAGACCTTGAAGCAGGACTTTCATGAAAAATGAAACAAATAAGTTTAATTCTAATGGAAATCCAGAAGAAAAAGAGAACAGAGGGAGGAAAGAAGAAATAGGAAGGAAATAAGAGAGAGGTTTAAAGGTTAGAAAAGAACAAAGAAGAGAGAGAGAGGAAGGCAGGCATTCAGTGGAGGACTGGAAACAGCTGCTGGTAAAAGCCAGCTTGCTCTGACACACTGATGCAGTCTCTATTGGCACTGGCATAGAGTAACTGAATGGGGAGAGAACACCCAGTCTACTAATGCAAAGAAAAGAATCCTCAAGACAAGTCAAACCTAAACCATAACTAAAGCAAAGGAGCCCAAGAATATCACAACACAGGTTCCTTCTGTCAAGCTCCTAAATGTGTCAATAAGTAACACTAGTGATTTTTAAAATATCCTTAGCACACAGTCTAAGCACCAGAAGAACTCAAAAGCGAGATGGAATTTTGTTTTGATCTAGTTTTATTATACCCTAGCTCCTAAGTAGGGCTGTTTCTCAGAGCTCGTACCATTCAGCTACAGAATTCAGGAAGTCCATTTCAGGGGCTGGAGATTCCAAAGGCAGGGACTAAGATTCGAACTGCTGACAACAAAGCCCATCACCTTTTCTTAACCACCTTTATAAACTGTATTTCTCTGACTCTCACACACATCAAGTACATACGCTGGGCTCCTCCCTCCTCTTCTTCACTGACAGGCAACAGTTCATTTTCCCATTCCCTCATCCAAATCCCCAAGAAACTAGTGACCTTCTTCCTGCTGCTCTGGGAAGGCACAGCATTTCCTGTTACATAAATTAAACATTAAAAAAAAAATATGAGCAGCTGCTCATAGAAATCAGATAAAAAGAAAGGAAAGGAAATTATCTGGTGTCCTGGAGCTGGACATTCCCTCCCCACCAACTTCTCTGGACAGCTCATTATGACCAACATTACTTCATTAAGGAGATTTTTTTTTTTTTAGGAATATAAAATTCTCTGACTGTATACTGATCACTTTTATACTGTGTGGTGTAGACAAGGACAGATGCTGATGTTAGGTCTGAAAGGCTATCCTATTAACTGAAATACCACTGTGCCTGTAAACGGACCTCCCAACCAAAGGGGAAGGGGGGGACCGGGTCCCCTTAGCCAGACCCTCCTTACTTATGATTCCTTTATAAATCCCAGGTTTCAAGACTATGCTAATGGAACCCAGAATATAGGGATACGAAGGCTACTTAGCATCAACATCCCTATCCAAGATGACTTTTGCAACAAAAGCCTGAAAGTAATTTTTTTCTTCCTCTCTAGAACCAGTATGTAATTGGGGGAAAGGGAAAGGGGGGGGGAGGAGGGTGCAGAATAGGGGTGTTGACGGAGAATTGGGCAGAGAAGAAAAGAAAATAAAGCAGGGAGGGCATCTCCCTTTGTACTATCAGGATCACAGCCAAATGACTGCAGAAATCAGTCAATGTCCAACTTTCAGAAAAGCATCCTGCAAAAAGAAAAGTCCTCATGACCAGGAAGTGAAACTAGGTAAGCACCCTGCCAGTATGAGGCCTATGCAAATGGGTCATTTAAGAGGGCAAGAAGTTTCATTTCCAAGAGTTATGGAACATTGTCCCCTAAAACAGAAAGCAGAAAAGCAAACCAAAGCCACCAAAGCCCTGAAAAGCCTGCCTTCTTAAAACAGTCATTGCTCAGGTGGCCAATGTTAGAATACTAGGGTGAAAAGGCTGGCAAAGTACTGAAAGAGATATTCAGAATTCAACAAAGGTTACACAGCTACCTACCATAACCAATCCTGACACTCAGGTCTCCTAGGGCCCTTCCAATAATAACAACAATAGCAGTAGCATTTATATGGCACCTACTATGGGCCAGGCACTGTGTTCAGCATTTTAAGAAATATGATCTCATTGGATCCTCACAACCACACTGAGAGGCAGGTGCTATTATTATTCCCATTTTACAATGGAAGAAACTGAGGTAAACAGAGGTTAAGTGACTTGCCCAGGATCACACTGCTAGTGTCTGAGGCCTGAATTTAAGCTCAAATCTTCCTGCCTCCAGGCCCGGTGCTCTATCCATTGTGCGCCTTGGGGATTCCTTCCTCCCCTTAACCCCTAAGACACAATTACAGCTTAAATATTCCTTATTCTCAACTAAAAGTGCTTCCCTATTCCTCAATAAGTCCCCAAATTATATCAATGGGGTCATCTTTATAAGTTACAGAGATTAGGAGTTTCCCTTCTTTCTCTCACAGTAAAAGGAAAATTCATCTGATGGGTTGTAACCAAGCTTTTCAACTACAAGCAACCTTGGTCAAGACTCTGTGTAACAATCCTCTATATCTGTCCTGCTTCAGCTGCCAGATCCCAATACTAAAACTGGCAGTTCACTGGCCTATTAGAGGTAGGTATGGAACAACTGTCACATTGCCCCCTCCCCCCCCAACCAGATAGAAAAGAAACCCTAAAGATGAAGAGCTTACATTCATAATCCCTAAGGCATTAGGTAAAGACTGCTTTGACTTTTCTATCTAGAAACTCTTTCTGTGCTGGGCTCTATTCCTCACAGCTGCAGGCTTCCAAATACCAGAAGACTCAAGATGCTCTGTCCCCAAGATAGGTTAGTCAAGCCCCTCAGCTCTGGGCCCCAACAGAACAGGGCTTGCTTCCTCCCTGACTCTGACTCAGGCACAGCACATGATGTGTGCCAAAGTGGGTTCTCTTTACCCAGCTCCGATCCCTTAGCAAATCCCAACTAAAATTCTATTTGTTACAGGAAGCCTCTCCCAACCCCCCTGAATTCTAGTGCTTTCCCTCTATTACTTATCCTGTATATAGCTTGTTTACATTTATTTTGTTTCCAAGTTGTCTGCCACATCAGACCGAGTTCCTTGAGGACAGGGACTATCTTTTGCCTCCATTTCCCCATCACGTAACACAGTACCTGGCACAGAGCAGGTGCTCAATTAATGGTTTTCGATTGATTGAAAAGGGGAGCTTTTGTTTTTAAAGAAGGTTGAGGGAGAGGAAGCAGTTTGTACTAAAAGAACTCCTAAGCAATGTGCCAAGGCCTAGAGACCCAGGTGACTATATCAGCACAGGCAAAAAGTAATTTACCTCTAAATTATGTTACTTCTCATCAACAACCTACTCATCTACTGGGGGTATGGATTTTCTCCAGTCATACTCAAAAGGTTTCAAAATTCAAACCTTGCTCTTTAAAGATGAAAAGTGAAAAAGAAAAGCAAACAACATTGCCAAGTTCTAAGCAAGCTAGCTGGAACCTAGCATGTGACATTAAAAACCAGGGAGCAGACTGAAAATACAAGCTGAAAGCAAAAAAAGCATTGACCAAA